TGTTTTTTAAAAATAAAATTTATTTATTAGTATATTATATTTTAATTAGTATTTTTATTTTTTCTTAGTATACTTTTTTAAGTATATTTTTAGTATATTATTTTTATTAATAGAATTTTTATTAGTATACTTTTAAATTTTTATTTGTATACTTTTTTGTGTACTGTTAATGTTTTTATTAGTACTTTTATTAGTATACTTTTTATTAGTATACTTTTTCTTTATTTTTATTAGTATACTTTTTCTTGTGTACTGTTAATGTACTTCTTTTAATCATTGGTAATAAACAATACTTATATATGTTTTCTTTTGTCTTACTATTTCTGTAGTTTTTGACCCTAAATTTATTTTCTTTTGTTTTTCTATGTTGTTTTGTGACTTCTGAACTCCCAGAACACTTTATACTCTCTAATGAAATCTTAAAAGCATTCTATCATACTTTATTGTCTTCTTTCTGTTTTTTCCCCCATATTTTATTGTCATTTGTAATTTTTTAAAAAAATCTTTCTGTTGGGCTTCAAATCTCTTGTATAAAAAGCTATATCATATATATCTTGATATATATTTATGAAACCTTTAGGTTATCCAAGATATTAACAAATATTTTACCACTTTCTACCCTTTTTCTTTCTTTAATTTTTACCCCTAATTATTCATTTATAGTTTACATATACCTATGATTCTTAATCTTGGCTGCATCATAGAACCCTGAGAAGAGCTTGTAAAAAGGTACAGCACAACCTGCACAAACCTACAGGATAAGCCCGAGCATTTGTATTTTTTAAAGTTCTCTGAGAGATTCTAATGTGCACCAGAATTGAGAAACCAATGGACAACTCTACTTTTTTAGGATTTAGAATTAAAGTGGTAACATTTCTATATAAATTTGTTCCTTTTAAAACAAAATTTTCAAAAATCTCAAAGTTTGTTCCCCTCTTCTGAACCTGAAGAGTAATTTACACAGTGAAAAGTTTTGGCTCATTGTATAATTCATAATTATTACAATGGTTCTTTTGTACATTTGTTGATTTTGTAATTTTAAAAAATTTTAATGGTTTTATTGCCTAAATGATTGCAAAATCTAGCAGTTTTAATTATTAGGACAGAAATATTTTGCAACCATTACTCATGAAATTAAGTTCACATATTTATCAGTAAAAATAATCACTGAAGTATTTGTGCCCTATACTACCTTAACTAAAAGTATTGTTAACATTAATGATGTTTAAACACTTATGCAGATCTAATATGGAAATCTCAATATGGGCTTTAAAATACATTTGAATGTTGGTAACTGGCAAGTTTTAATATAGAAGAGCTTCAGTTATCTTGAAATTCAGAACTATTGTTATTTTCTTTTCTTACTGTAAACAGGTTTATGTAGAAACTTAGTGTTCCTTACTCTTGTTAATTTTCTTTTCTTACTACTTACTACCACTATTGTCCTACCACCCATTACCATATAATTGACTACATTTATTAAATACTTAAGTATTCGAAACCATGTACAGTGCTAAATATATTTCATGTATTAATTGACTTAACCCCACAAAGACTAGGAGGTAGGTAATGTTATCCCCATTTTCACAAGTAAGTAAACTAAGACTTAAAAAGTCTTAGATAACTTGTTCCAGGTCACACAGTAAGTTATAAACCAGAGTAGAATTTCAACCTATGTCTCATCATACCTGAGAGCTATGCTTTTTAATATATTTGGTGGAACATTGTATAGAACCTCAGAATACCAGTGCTAATTTTATAATGCTATAGATGTTGAATCTGTGAGCAATTGAGCTATAGGGTTATTGACTCAGAACTACCTTTCTAATTGATTTTAGGATAAAAATTAGTGAATTGTTTTCTAATTGTAAGCCTTTTTTATTTGTTTTGAAAGAAAAGATTTCCAGAGTTGATTATATGCTCCAGTTGTGGTTTCATTGATCAGAGCCCACCTTAGGATTCTATTTAAACAATTTTTATTATTGATTGTATCAAAATATATTCAACATATTACTTCATCCTGAAAATAATTTCCTGTAATTAAATTTCAAACATGGTATTAAGAGAATATCCACATTGTATGCTTTAGAATAAAGCCAAGAAATCAGAGATTTTGCTATTTGATAAAACTAGAATTACTGTAGAGTTTACTTATATACACATTTCTCTGACAAAAACAGCACAGAGGAGCTGAGCACAGTGGCATGCACTTATGATCCTAGTGAGTGAGAAGCTCAGACAGGACTGGAGGTTATAAGCCAGTCTGGGTAATTTAGTAAGACCCTGTCTCGAAAAATAAGTACGGGGGATGTAGCTCAGTGGTACAGTCCTTAGTACTTAGTGGGTTCAATCCTTAGTACTGGAAAAAAAAAAATCAGCACAAAAGTCACTATATTGAATACAGATCTTAGCAAAAAATCTGAATGTACAAATTGAGGGATATCAACATAGAAAGTGTTGTAATAGTTCAAGTTTATTTAGCTGTATATGTGCATTTAAGTACTTACTCAGAAAGTGGTACAAATTTTAGTTGCATTTCAGTAGATTTCTGCTACTACTCTAAATTACTGTCTGTGAGTTTTAAACTACTTACTTTAAAGTAAACTGTTACCAAATTTAGCATTCATTCATTCATTTATTTAGTGTTACTAGGGATCAAACATATATCACTGAAGTGCATCCCAAACCCTTTGTTTCTTTTGAGACAGGTTCTCTCTAAGTTGCTTCAAACTTGCAATCCTCCTGTCTCAGCCTCCCAAGTAGCTGGAATTACAGGCATGCGGCACTGTGTTTAGCTATTAAAAATTTTTGGTGAGGTTAGTAATGCATAGGATATTATTGTATCTATCTTTTTTTTTTTTTTTTTTGATATCTGGGATCAAACTCAGGACCTTGAGCTTTCATGGCAGGCGGTGGCACCACTGAGCTAAATCCCTGGCCCCTATCTGGGTTTCTTCAGCTCACTGTTTTTATAGAGCAAAAATCCCTTTGTACATCAATGTACTACTTCCTTATAGTTTTAGTCATGTGTTCTAATGGCTTTCAGTTTAATAATCAGGGGGCTTGTACTCAAACTGATCATGACAGAGATTGAATTGAATCAGTCTGTACTTATGGTCCTTTAGATTATTTATTGTGCCTAGGACAGGGTCTTGCTGAAAATGAATGTCTGGGAGCTACCATCATTGATATTCAATAAGTGATCAGTGAAGAAGGCAATTAGAATATCTGAATATTTTGTCTGAGAACAGTCAATGTTTACAAGGTAACTAGGTTTTCTAGCATACACTTATCATCAGAGGTTAAAGAAAAAGAGAAAAAATAGAATTCTGGAGATAGTGAAATTATTATAGTTAGTTTGACTTACTCTAGAGATCTACATTTTACTAACACATCATGTTATTGCACAGGTATGTTGAGCTAGAAAAGTTTTGCCTTCTAATTCTCTTGAAAGTGGAGTGAATTTGTAATTATTAAATGAAAATATATACATAACATTTTTCTCTTTTGTAGGCACTTGGGATCACAGCTTTGTGAATTAGAAAAACTGATAAGTAAAATGATGATTGCAGAATTTTCTACTTATTCTCACAGTGACTTAAATAGACCACTGGAAGATGACAGTCAAGTTTTAGAAGAGGTAGGTGTTTGAAATTGTGGAATGTGATGTTACTGCTTAATGTTAGCTCCTGGCCTTAGTTTAGAACACATTTTTCTCAGGTTATTGTAAAATTACCTTAAATTTCAGGTTCTGTCAGACCTATGAAGTCCTTCATTAGCCGTGTGACTTTAACAAGCACTATAAAGCTTCAGTGTCCTATGAAATTTGAGAATGAAGTAATTTTGTATCTTTCTTAGAAATTAAATTAAGGCTTTTATAGCTTACAAACTAAGCTCAAAGTATAAGACAAATGAATTAATTTATATCCCAAATGTGCATGCATTGAAAAGTTTCTCTTATGTAAATTGATTTTTATATGGAAAGTTAGTACTCATTGAAACTCATTGAATACCTTATGAAAACATTATGAACATGTTTTATGCATGTGCATGTATAAATACATCATATCCTGGCTTCATCTATTTGCTAAGTTATCATTCTTAATCATTGCCAAGAACTAATATAAAATCTAAAAGGCCCCAACTAGTAACAGCATAAATTAAGAGATGTACACATTGGAAGTTGGTTTCCATTTGAGACTTGAGAGTCCAGGTCATCATTCCAGTCTTCTAGACTACAAATTACTTTAAAAAAAAAGTAAAGCTCAGGGACTATTTATTGGTCGTCAGGGGTTGAGAAATGTATTTTCTAATTCTTCATGGAAGCTAGGCCAAAAATTCTCGTTTTGTCCCCAAACCAGCTTCATTTAATCTAGTATGGTAGAATAAGATTTATCTATTTTAGAATGGGGACTCCAAAATCTGATGACAAGATTGCTGGGAAGGGTTTTTTAAACTTCTAGAAATACTATGAGCTGGATTGAGGTCTGAACAAAACTCTTAATCCTGAATATTCCTTTCTTTTAAGTCTGATTATTTCAAATTTAAAATGTGAAATTACATATTCTTCTCTTTAATAGGAAAGATTAGTGTCTCTTGTATTTGGACTTTTAAAACAAAGAAAACTTAATTTTTTAGAAATCTATGGTGAAGAAGTGATTATTACAGCAAAGAATATCATTAAACAGGTAATTATGCAATTTTATTTCATATATAGTCTACAATCTTTTGAGTTTATTTTTACATTATCTAGTAATATATGCAGGGTATAGTATAATACTAACACTTCCTCATTTGTTTAAAAATGGGAAATATGGAAAAATAGAATAAAAACATAGCTCTACCAGCCAAGATTATCACTTTAAGAATATTTCTACATGTAGACCATTACTGATTTTTATTGTTGCTGTCAAAATGTATATGACTTTGAACATATATTTCAATTATAATCAACATAAACATTTTCTCATGTTATTACACAAAACTTCAGATACATCAGTATTAATGGTTGTTAAAATTTCGTCAGTGTTATGTTGGTTAAGCTTTGTAGCCTTTCGTATACTTTGAACATTTAGGTTGTTTTCAGTTTGATGTTATAAATAATTCTGTGACAGATGTCTTTGGTGTAAAGTTACTTTGTCTTTCTTAAGATTGTTTCTTGGACTGATTTCCAAAAGTTGAATTATTGGTCAGAGAATAAGAAGTATTTTTAAGTTGTTTCATACATAGAACTGAATTGCTACCTGAAAATGTTTTACCAATTTATACTCCTACCACCAGTAGGTAAATGCTAATTTCCCTTTTACCCTGATATGTAGGAAATCATAATAAACTAAAATCTGCTTGTTTGGTTTTCCCTGATCTTTGTTTTTTTATTCTCATAAGTCCCATCTAATGAAGTTTAATTTTTGTATATGTGAAAAAGATAATGTAATTTTAAATGTGTTTGTTAGGGTTAATCATCATCATTAGGTTGAATGTATATTTTAAAATTTTTAATGTTTATATAAAATTTTTAAAATTGCAATCACTTTCTCTTAGACCACTCTCAAACACTGATTAAAACACTGTATTTTTAAATGGATAAAACCACTTTGCAAGACTGTTAGTATCTACTAAATATGCACACATTACGATCCGGCATTTCTATTTCTGGTATTCACACAATGTAAAATTCTTACATAAGTTCATCAAAACACAGTAGAAGAATATTCACAGCAGTACTGTTTGTTAAAAAAGAAAGAAAATAATTCCATCATCAGTAGAAAGGATAAATAAAATTATGATATACTTATAGAATGAAATGTTATACAGTAATGAGAATAAATAAATTACTCAGAACTACATAAATGAACATTAAAGATGAGATTGGATGCATTCAGAGTGGTATGGCTATAGACAAATGAACATTAGATAATGTGAAAGCAAAGAAGCCAGACACAAAAGAGTATACACTGTGTGAGTCCACTTGTGTAAAATTGAAACACAAGCAAAATTAATCTGTTGTTTAGAAATGAGATAGTAGTATCTTTTTTTTCCTGGTACTGGAGATCAAACTCGGGACCATGTGGTTGTGAGGCAGGCAACGGCACCACTGAGCTAAATCCCTGGCCTTGATAGTAGTATCTTTTGGAAGGAAGTAATAGCTGGCTAGAGAGCTGGGAAAGGGCTCTGGAATACTGGTAGTTTCAAGAGCTGAGTTCAGGTAGAAGAGATGTACTCCATTTGTAAAGAAGTATTATATTGTAAACATAACTTACATAATTTCTATTTGTATATTTTAAGAAAAAATTTTAACAGCTGTGTCTAAGCATTTATTATCTAATAATAAAGCATTTATTATCTGAAGTCTAAGCATTTATTTTCTTTTTAAATTTTAACACTGTTGCTTGCTATTGCAAAAAAAGGTAAACCTCCAATATGCATTTCTTTTGAGACATTAGTATGAGGATTATGCCTTGTTTCTACATTTCTATTTTCTTATTTATTATTTTGAACAGTTTTTTTTCCAGTACCGGGGATCGAACTCCAGGACCTTGCACTTACCAGGCAGGCATGGTGCCACTGAGCTACATCCCCAGCCTTGAATAGTTTTAAATAGGAGATTTTAATTATTGTAGTTTAAGCATATTCTAAAATAATGAACAGGGTAGGGGTAATGCTTTGGTTTTTCAAACATGTTAAGGTTTGTATAAAGGATATATTTTTAAAAAGTGTGGTAAAATGACTAGTCAGCAAGTCCTTTTTAATGTACAGATGGAACATGCGGTTCTTAGGATACTAAATAATCAAATTGTTTTTATTTTTTCTTAAATTTTGCAGTGTGTGATTAATAAAGTTTCACAAATAGAAGAAATAGACACAGATGTTGTTGTGAAGTAAGTATAAATATAAAGGTTGGTAGTTATCAGTCAGGGAAAAGATGACACATGCAAATTAGAATAATGTAAGGAGAATTTTGTTAAGGAATTACTGGTTGAGGTTTGGGGCAGGTGTAAGAAAATCACAAATGACCCAAGGCAGTACCTTTGGGAGACAAGGGAAATAAGTCATTAACAGGATTTAGGAGAAAGACAGTAATAGTTGATAAAAAGCTGTGTTCTTCAGTCATCCTGAGGTAACTCTTCAAAAAGGGAACTGGAGTAAGTACCATAGTGTAGTTCCCCTTATCTGTGGGAGATACATTCCAGCACCCCTAATGGATGCCTGAAACCACAGATATTATTACTAAACTATACATATATCACATTTTCTCCTATGAGCCCTTTAGTATTGCCATATAACACCAGAATTAACCTGCCTTTTCATGTTGTATATCTTTGTGGTTTTTTTGTATCACTACTCTTGTGCTGTGGGGCCATTATTAAGTAAAATAAACACAAATACTGTAATATTAAGCCAGTTGATCTGATAACTGAGATGGCTACTAAGTAACTATGGGCAGGTAGCATATACAACATGGATACACTAGGCAAAGAAATGATTCATGCTCTGGGTGGGAAGAAGCAGGTTGGCACAAGGCATTATGCTATTCAGAATGGCACATAGTTTATAACTTACGAATTTTTTTCGGGAATTTTCCATTTAATATATTTGGATTGCATTGATTCTGGGTAATTAGTGCTACAGAATATGAAACTGCGGGTGACTCTTTGTAAGGGATCCTCATTGGCTAAGCCCATCAAGTTGCCCTCATAGGGCAGAGAGGAGGGTAGGAAAGGGATAAAGGTAGATGCAAAGCAGAGGAATTGAAGATAATTCATACAGCAAGATAGTATTAGTTTTAAAGTATTTAGCTATATAATTAAAACAGTTTCTGATTGGCTTTGGGGAGTTTTAATATTTGATTTTGAACTGCATATGTTTATAATTTTTTGTTTAGACCCTTGATATTACTATTCTTACATTTTGAGAATAATGATATTTCCTGACTGAACTTCTCATTTGTGTAGATATCTAACTTTATTGACTGGCCTATATGAATAGCAATATGGACAGCTAGGAAGCTTCTTGGGGCCAAACCTGCAGAATGGAGATTGTCGAGTGTTAATTTTCACCCTATTACCTGGTGAAAACTTAGTTTCAGAATTAGTTGAAGCAAAATAGGAATCAAGTTAGGAACTAAATAGGAATTAATATAGGAATTGCTAGTAGTTGGAAGACATGTCATTGGCACTGTTAGAAACTCCAAGGACTCGACGAGTTAGTGACTTCTTGTTTTCTTTTTCTGTAGGGAATTTTCGCAGCTTAACGTAAGAAAACTTTCTATATATCCAATATGAGTATTTTTTGAGAATAAACTGTTTGCTGCTGGAATGAAAAATTTAGAATAATAAGTTGTTTCAGTGCCATAAAATGTTTTATGGAATTCTATTTTGCATTAATCTGTTTCATCTTTGAAGTTACTGATTGACATCAACTATCAAAATAATAATATTGGCTGATATATGATAATTTTTAATGTACCATGCATTGCTATAAGTATTTTTTTATTAACTCATTTAATACTTATAACAATCTTGTAGAGTCTATCCTTTCCCCATGTTAAGATGAGAAAATTGAAGCACATAGGGACGAAGTCACTTGACACTCACATAGCTAATAATCCCAGTAAGCTGCTAGAATTTTGAACTGAGGCAGTCTGGCCACATTACTTCTCATATGTGGAAAAATACTTTTTAGTTTGCAGTAAGAAAAGTAAGTTATTGAATTTGTTGAGGGAGATGTTAATTTCTGTTTTTATTCCAGAAGATGCCATTATCTTTAAGTAAAATTGGTTTATTTCTTTATGATTTATTTCTTCAGTGGTCACAGAGCATGTTCACATGAGATTACCGTATTATAAGGTTTATATGTCAGTATATTTAATTAGATTAGCTTTAAAAGATATTTAAAGAAGTATGAGTTGTTTGGCAGTTAACCTCTTCAAGATTTGATGATTTTTAGTTAGAAATCTAGATAAAGTTGTATTTTATTCTTGTTACTTGATAGTATCCTTTTTTCCAGTTTGGAGATGTTATCATATTGACCCTGAGATATCATTATGTATGTTTAAATTATTTTTTTCTAGGCTTGCAGATCAAATGAGAATGTTGAATTTTCTCCAGTGGTTTGATCTATTAAAGGATATTTTCTCTAAGTTTACAATTTTCCTACACAGAGTTAAGGTAAGCTTATGTATCAGTTTGTCCAGAATATCCCTAAAGTTCAGCCAGCTTTCTGGAATAAAACACAGCTTTTTTGTTTTTGTAATTTTTCTAAAAAGGTTTGGTTTTAAATAAGAATTGAAGTACCTTGAAATATTTTGGCAATTTTTATAATTTTGAACAATTTGTTTTATATTAAAAAGAAATATAATGCTTGCTTGACATTAAATATTGTGCAATAATTTTTCCTCTTCTCATTTTATGATACTTGAATCTTTCTAGATTATATAGTGGGTCAATATTATGACAAAAGCACATCTCAAGTTGCTAACTTTTCTAGAAATTTAATGTTGATATAATTTTTAGGCTATTGCTCTATTTAAATTATTTTATTACTGTCATTTATTGAAGGTTTTTGTTTCATTTGGTCTGGGGTCCAATCAAGGATCATCTACATTACATTGAAGTCTTTTGTCTTTTTAGCCAAACCACTTAATTTTAAGCCATGTAGTACAAGGAAAAGAACACTTGCCATACAACATTTTTTTTTAGAAGAAAAGACATTACAGACTTTAATATACATTGTTTGGAATCACTAACATGTCATAGTTATGTTTTAGTAAGAAGGTACTCTAGGAATTATTGAATGTGACAGTTAAAAGGGGCCATTTGTGAAATCTGATATTGTTTGAGTTATCAAGTGTCAAAAATGTGTTGTATGTCCAGTTAATATGCCTAGAATTTCCTAAGTGCTGTGAAAAATCATCTCAGGGACTTTGGTACCTCTCTTTGTCATGGCTTATCCTCATTTACATTGGAGCAATCCTAAGTCACATGTAGAAGCATATCAGACAGGGTCAGAAAAAAACTTTATTGTGCTTAATTTAGACTGTTTGGGATTGGTAGGATTAAAAGAATAGATCCTACCCATTGGCAGTGATAGACAACAAACCTTTTTGTATGGATAGATTATTTAACAATTAGGCCGTTTTCACTTTTTCATATATTCTGTGACCTTTATCATCTTATAGATCTATTATTCCATGTCTGGATATACACCAACTCTTAAAAAGCATAGAATATATTTGGCAAAGTTTTTGCCATTAATTTTTAAAGTGGCTATGCCACTTTTAGGCTCTTTCTCTATTAAAGTAAGTAAAATTATTATCTGATTCAAGAACAGCATGAGAATTGTAATTTTCCATAGTTGTAATTTCTCATTTTCACATTTGGGGTCTCAACTAGTATGTAAGTAGAACATCTATAAAGGTGACTTGTAACCTTCAAATATGGTACTTAATTATTTGAAAAAAGTTTGCGATTTTACTGAAAAATAATAGTGATTACAAGCTATTCATTTTAATGGAAGAGTTTTTAAATAATTAAAAATTAATTCTATTAAAATTGTTAAATTATAGAACCACTTGAAGTTTGTGTTATTTTGTTTTCCCCTAGATTTTCTTTAAAAAGATATTATGTTTTATCATCAGAAAAAGTTGTTTTGCATCTTTTTTTGCTGTGCTCAGGATTGAACCCAGGATCTCATGCATGTTGTATGGGCTACATACCCAGCCCTTTGTTTTACTTTTTAGTAGTTTTTACTATATTACAGGAATAAACAATAGTATTTGAATTTCTTGTTTACATTATTAGGGTTAATAATTTGTTATCTTAAATCCTTATGTTTATTTTGAAAAAGCAAAGTGTATTTTATATATCATTTTAGTATTAAAGTAAATGGTATTTTGAAAAGACATTAAAGCATAAAATTCTATTCAGAACATATCAGTAATATTTTGAATGGATTAAACAATAAAAAGATTGAGATTTGAACATTTTATATTTGAATGATTATTAATGACTTGAGATTATGGTTCTTCTCTTCCTCTTCTTCTCTATCTCTTCTTCTCCTCCTTCTTCCCTACCTCTGTCTTCCATTCTATCCTCCTTCCCCTCTTTCTTTTACATTACTAGAGATTTAACATAGGGCTTTCACACTGACCTTCATCCCTAGTCCTTTTTATTTGTTTTACTTTGAGGCAAAGTCTTGCTAAATCACTAAGTTACCCAGCCTGGACTCAAACTTGCTATCCTCCTACCTCAGCCTCCCAGAGTGCTGAGATTACAGATGCACATCACCTTGCCCAACTAAGAAATTATTCTACTGCATTAAAGTAAGTGCCATGATAAAGGTGCACAGAGTTACTTTCTTTTTAGAGAAAGAACCTATTTAAAAAAAAACAAAACATAATAACAAGAAAGAAGAAAATGAAAAAGAATGATGTCTAGATGTTGAGAGTTTGACTTAAATTCTGACTGCATTTGGGTCACTTTATGTTAACCATGTAATCTTTAAACTTCAATTCTATTAAGTGCAGACATGTTTATTTCACAAAGGAGTGGTACAGGACCACAAGTTTGGAAGCTAGCCAGATCCCAGAGTCCAAAAGTGAAAGACCTTGGGCCGGGGATTTAGCTCAGTGGTTCTGCCGCCTGCCTTGCAAGCACAAGGTCCCAAGTTCGATCTTTGGTACCAAAAACCCCCCCAAAACAAAAAAGTGAAAGACCTTGCTTTGAGAATAGAGCCCCATGGAATTAGTTCACTGGGATTTGTTTCACAGTGCTCAGTCATTGGTACCCAGTGTCCTCTACAGCCATGATCCAAGGAGGCCCAGCCAAAATAAATGTCTTCTTTAAATTGCAGGTGTTAGATATACTGTGTCCCAGTGATGAGAAAGTGATGAAAACAGTTATTTTTTTTTGGTACCAGAGATCGAACTCGGGACCTTGTGCTTGCGAGGCAGGTGTCGGGACCACTGAGCTAAATCCCTGGCCCTGAAAAGGGTCACTTAGTGAGATCATTGTAAAAAAAAAACCAAAAAAACGAAGTGCTGTGGATATAGTTCAGTTCAGTGTGAAGGCCCTGGGTTCAATCCCTAGTACCCCCCAAATTAATTAATTAATTAAAAAATAAAATTAAAAGGGCTGGAGATGTAGCTCAATAGTAGAAAGCTTACTTAGCATAATGGGGTCTTGGGTTTAATTGCTAATACCCCTTAATAAAACAGCATCAATCCATTCATGAGGTGGAGCCCTTGTGACCTAATTACTTTCCACTAGGCCCCACCTCTTTTTCAACATATTTTAGTCAGATAGCAATCCAGTCATACATGGTTCAAGAAAACTCATAAAAAATCAAATATAGTCAGATGTTAAAGATTGGTCTTGAAACAATATAGCCAGCTACACCCTTTTGGCCTATGAGCTCTTCAGTATAAAACCATATCCACAATTCAGTAGCCACAGAAATATTCAGCATAGCTTCCTTAACTGTGAGCTGTTGGAAGCTACCAGTTTGAGTACTACTCTTTTTTTTCAGGCTCTGAATAGCCATTATGTGCACAGAATTCACTTTTGGTAGAAGGCAGGTTATTTATTTGGTAGTTATTTATTTATTTGGTTATTTATTTGGTTATTTGGTAGAAGAGGAAAGGGATGGAAGGGGAAAGAAGAGGAGAAGATATGATCAAAATACATTGTGCACATGTATCAAAATGTCACAATGAAACATTTTTCTGTATAATTAAGATGCACTACTAAAAAATTTACTTTTGGCAACATTAAATACAACATTTTGTGTGTATGTAAGTATGTGTGTGTGTTACTAGTAATTGAACCCAGGGCCTTCATACTGCTCCACATCCCTATCTCTTTTAATTTTTAATTTTGAGATAGGGTCTTGCTAAATCTCTTAAGTTGTCAAGGCTAGGCTTGAACTTGCTATCCTTCTACTTCACTCTCCCACTGTGCTGAGATTACAGAATTGCACCACTATGCTCTAGGTTAAGTGTGAGATATTTTAAATTCTTTAACATGTATCCTTTTTCGTTCTTATTTTTTTTTTTTTCAGGCAACATTGAACATCATTCACAGTGTTGTTCTCTCAGTTCTTGACAAAAACCAAAGGACTAGAGAACTGGAGGAGATTTCACAGCAGAAGAATGCTGCAAAAGATAATTCACTGGACACAGAAGTGGCTTATTTAATCCACGAAGGCATGTTTATAAGTGATGCATTCAATGAGGGTGAATTAGCACCTGTAGCAGTTGACACTACCTCTCAAAGAAATGCATCTCCAAATAGTGAGCCCTGCAGCAGTGATTCCGTGTCCGAACCAGAATGTACTACTGATTCTTCATCCAGCAAAGAGCAGACATCATCATCTGCAACTCCAGGAGGTGTGGATATTATGTGAGTATAATGAATAACATCAAATTGACAGGATTTTTGAATCATTTATTAATGGTTTTGGTATAACTGAGTATTTAGTTTATTTAAGAACCATGTAGGGCTGGAGATTTAGCTCAGTGGCTCTGTGCCTGCCTGGACAGTGCAAGGTCCTGAGTTCTATTCCTGGTACCAAAAAAAAGAGAACCATGTAAACTTTTATCTTGGAATTTAACAAAAATATATTGTTTGAAATGCCTCTTTTTGAAAATGTATGGAAAGTACCTAGGTGGTGAACATTGGAGGTAATGGAGAAATTACAGAATTTTAAAGCTAAAAAGGGCTGTAACTTATTAAATTATTATAAATGCCCTTATGTCAGTGATATGGTAACAGATGCTTGGAGAGCTCACATGATTTACTGAAAGTCACGATATTACTATAAATTACTATAAAAGTACAAAACAGTCTCCTATATTTATATTCATATTCACCAGTTGTGGACAGATTGCCACATTGCCCTCTCTATCCCCCTTTTGTCTCTCTTCTTTATATCTCATTTTTTCCCTTAATATAGATTTTATTTCTTTAATGTAACATTTCAGAGGTCCTCACCTGAGAAGGCAGCTCTTCCATCCTTAATGTGTAGTTTTCATTTGTGTCTAAGGTAGCTGTTTTAGCTTTTATCGTCTTATCTGCATTCCTAGCAGGTGGAAGCAGAGGACAAAGGGCTTGCACCCAGCTTAATTTTATTGTTGTTTTGTTTTGATTTTCTTTAACTTTTAAATTGGAGTATTAGTCATATGTGGGAATCCGCAGGCAGCGTGGGTGAACCTGAGACCTGAGTTGGGGCAATGGGAGATAAGGAAAAAACACAGACACACACGTAAAGAGAAAACTGGGGCCAGGTGGGACGCAGCCCTCTGATGGGGAAACTGCTATGTGGTGCCTAGTCAGTGTGTTTTTCTTATACAGTTTCAAGGAGGAATGTTCTGGGGTGGTTTCAGGAAGAACAAGCTCTTTATATTATATTGAGAATGTGGAAAGTAGGACATTCTCAAGGCTAGCTAGCTATGCTGCAGTTAGTTATCCGGAACACTGAGCTCTCCATGCTGCTCCCCTTATTGCCTGAGTTACTAGAGGTCAGGAGCTGAATATAAGAGGGCTCTGAACACCCTCAGCTCCCTACATGGGAAAATATACCCATTGTAATGTTCAGTAGTCACCAGATCAAGAAATAGAACATTATCAGCTCTCCTGACAACCCACTTTCCCATTACACAACTACTCTGGTCTTTCCCACAGGAAACCCAAAACTTCTGCTTTTCCAAGTTTTAAACTTTTTGTAAGTAGAATCAGACATATGTTCTTTTGTGTCTGATTTCTTTCATTTGATATTGTTTATGATATTTGTCCAAGTTTTCCATGTAGTGGTGGGTTTATTTGTATACTTTCCATTTTATGATAACACCACAGTATAATTTGCGCATTTTAATATTGATAAGATCTGAGTATTTCTGTTTTGAATTGTTGTGAGCATTTCTGTAGATAGCTTTGGTCTGCATGTTATAAGCATTTCCGTTGAATATATACATAGGAATGAATAATATAGGTATGTTGAATATATACATAGGAATGAATAACACATACATGGCCAATTTAGCTAATGCCAAACAATTTCTCAAAGTGGTTGTACTCATTTATAATTCTGTCAACAATGTGGAAGAGTTCTTGTACATCTTCATTCATTTTTGGTACTGTTAGTCTTTTATATGTTAGCTGTTTTGGTAGGTATGTCACAGGTGTAATAGTTTAAATTTTTATCTTCCTGATAGCAAGAGCACCTTTTTATATATTCATTGATTATTTCAGTAGCCTTTTCTTTGAAGTGCCTGTGAAAGGCTTTGGGTCACTTTTCCATTGGACTTTTTTCTTACTGATTTATTAGAATCACTTATGTCATCTCAAAACAAACCCTTGTTAGCTGTGTTCCAATATCTGTGGATTCACTTTATTCTTTAGTTGAGGTATTTAGTGAACAGAAGTTATTAATTTTAATATAATCTTATGATTTATTATTTTTCTCTATGGCTTTTGCTTTTTTAATGTGTGTTGTATTTTAAGAAATCTTTCCCTATCCTCAGGCCTTGAAGATACTCTTATATTTTAGAAGCTTTGTTGCTAACCCTTCCACATTTAGATCAGTAGTTCATCTGGACTTGATTTTTGTGTACATAGGAGGTTTTGTTTTTCTCATATAGATCCTTTTGACCTGGTGCCATTTATTGAAAATACTCTTTACTGCTTATAATGACACCCTTGATAAGTAAAATATTTAAACATGTGTGTGTCTGTTTCTGGACTCTATTTTGTTCATTTTTCTGTCTTTATACTAGTACATTATTGAGTATAATTATCTTAGTTACTGTAATAACTGTAGCTTTTTAGTGAATTTTAACATCTGGGATAATAATTTCTCTTAGCTTTTCTTCTTCAAGATTGCCTTTAGCCAGGCATGATGGCACAAACCTGGAACTCCAGCTCTCCAGGAAACTGAGGCAGGAGGACCAGAAGTTCAGCCCCAATCTGGGCAACTTAATGAGACCCTGTCTCAAAACAAAAAAGGGCCACAGACATAATAAGTGCAAAGGCCATGAGTTCAGACCCCAGTACCACCCCCAAAGATTACTTTGACTATTTATAGGCTTTTGTAAATTCATATACATGTTAGATTTGTTAGTTGCCTCTATTAATCTTCAAATAGATTTGTTTTTTCTTCTTCTCCCTCTTTTCTTTCTCTCCCCCCCCTTTTCCTTTCCTTTCCTCTCCTTTCCTGTCCTTTTCTCTCCTTTCTCCTTTCCTTTCTCCTTTCTCCTTTCTCCTTTCCTTTCTCCGTTCCATTCTGTAACATCCAGAATTTGGAGTTAGTGCTCCGCAGATCTTGGTGTCGGCTACAAGTGTTGCCGTCGCTTTCACAGTGGCTTCAGTCTGGGCTGTGCCACAACCTCTCGAGAGACATGGGTCATCGGAAACTCTTTAGTGTCGGAGTTTGGGCCGCAGGCATCTTGGTGGCAGCAGGAGAACAGAACCTCTGGATAGACTCTTCTTGGAAAGCTTTACTAATTTGCAGCAGCTGGACAATGTTCCTCATTAACATCTGTCAGCATAGTCATGATGTCATTTCACTGTGGTGACAGGGACTCATCTCCGAATTCTTTATAGAAAAATTTGCACCTGGATCCCAGCGTTTCAGTGGCTTCAAGACAACCAGAAGTGCCTGCTCTTGGGCCCAGTGGGCCTCTAGGCAACATGTCCCTGCCCATCGGGATGTGCTGCTGGGCATTCAGCTATGATGATGCCCTGGAGAACCCTGCGCCCATGACTCCTCCTCCAGCGAACATGGGCAGCATCCCCTGGAAACCAGTGATTCCACAGTGCAAGTACCAGCACCTCGCTAAGGCAGAGGAAGGAGAGGGCAGTGTATCCCCCACTGCCGTGACCCTGGCAACGGCCACTGACAGTACGGACAAGGTCTTGGTGGTGAAGGCTAAAGCTATCCATGTTATCATGAGTTCCCAACAGATCCAGGAGAGCCTTCAGGGTTTCGAGCAACAGGCAGGGCTGAGAGATGCTGGCTACACACCGCACAAGGGCCTTACCACTGAGGAGATCAAGTACCTTCGTGTGGCAGAAGCACTCCATAAACTAAAGCTGCAGAGTGGAGAGACAACAAAAGAAGAGAAGAGCCTGCATCAGCCCAGTCCAGCCCAAGTAGCACCCCTCAGTCTTCCCCGAAGCAGAAGTCCAGAGGCTGGTTCACGTCTGGTTCCTCCACACCTTTAATGGGCCCAAATCCTAGCACCATGGATCCTGGAAGTGGGGATAAGGATAGAACCTCATTAGATAAATGGAATGTCTTTGGATCAAGACCCCTCCAGAAGTCTGATTCTGGAGGTTTTGCTGTCCAGGCCTACAAAGGAGCCCAGAAGCCCTCTCCCATGGAGCTGATCCATGCCCAGGCCACCCGAATGACTAAAGATCCAGCAACCTTCAAGCCGCCCAAGATGAACATCCCACTGATAGAAACGAAGAAACCACCACCGCGGACCCATAATCTCAAACCACGTGACTTGAATGTTCTCACACCTACTGGGTTCTAGAGTGTTTTCTATCCCAGGGTAGAGGGTTTCTTGTGTCCCACTTCCCTTGGCTCTCACATAGGAATGGTATATTTTAAACCTCTTAAATGGAGGCTATCACTGGAGATACAGTTAATTTTTGAGAAACAGTGTAAAGCTTGTACTTGTGTGGAAGAAACCATTTTGTACTGCTTTGGACTAAAAAAAATCTGAGCAGTAATTTTGGGGGACCTTGCAACCTATTTTTGTATCATGTACCCTAGACAAGAACTTCAATCACTGCTTACTAGGTAAATAATGTTTATGCTAGTCCAAAACTGAGATTTTTTTTATCACGATCAACATGAACATTGACAAATCATGGTGTAGAGGTGCCCACTAACTTGTTTGGGCACTTAACTATGGCCCTTTTGACCATGCTGGTGCTGTGCTCCAGCTCATCATTTGGGACCTAAGATACATCTGAGATCTGGGTACAGTTAGCAGCCAGTCCAGGGAGGAATCTCACTTGGAGTCACCTTGCTTTTTAGTCAGCCTAATGGATTATTTTGTCCCGCAGTCATTCCTTCATGCCTCTTGGTACTTCCCGGGCCACTGACACAGGAGAGATACTTCCCTCTTAACATAGAACAGTGTTGCTTATCCTCTCTTGCACTTTAAAGGGAGATTAGTTTAAGTCCAATTTGGTTGAAAACTAACAGAGAAAATTCAGTCTCCTGATTTCATCCTGATTACGTATGTATAGCTTTTTTTCCTGAGGGCAGTGCTAGGAATGAACCTTGGGCCTCACACATGCTAGGCAGGCACAATACCACTGAGCTTACCCGTAACCCGTAGATATTTATATTAAATTTTTTTTAGTGTAAAGATGGTTAGTACAGTTATAGACTTTAGGTTCATATAAAATGAATGTGTCTTGTTTTGATTTTTGGCCAGGTTAGGGCCTGAAGTTTTGTGGGGTGAGATTGGTCCAAGAATTCAAAATTTTTCTGTAAATGAAAGAATTTTTCACTAAAATGAGGCTCATACTTTTATGTGACACATACCTTACTGAAGAAATGAAAGAGAAACTGCCTTTTTATTTCTCCTATGTACATGTTCATTGTCGTGAACTCTGTCTCAGATATTGCTTTTCTTTTTTCTTTTTGCTGTACCAGGGATCAAACTCAGGACCTTGTACTTGTGAGGCAGGCACGGCGCCACTGAGCTAAATCCCCAACCTGTGCTGTTTCTTGTTTTAGGTACCATTTTGTTTACATAAGGAACTGATCTTCCATAGAGAAGCCCTGGAGTCTAAAATTGTCACAATTAATTTATTTGTGCCTTTTTCTTGTTTTGACAATAAAAATCCTTACTACTTTCTCAAAAAAAAAAATCCAGAATTTGCACTATTACAACATAAGTGTTATCTGTCTGTAAAGGAGGCTTGAGAAATAGTCGTTAGCTTGTTGACTATTTGCCAGCTAAACCTATTTACCCAGGTAACGCTATTATTATGGCAGAATAAATATTGAAAGGTAGCTAGCAGTCTGCCAAATCATTTAAGATTCTTTTTAAACCAGATGTAGTCTCATAGATTTTATTCTTCCCTTTCATCTTCACTTTGGCTCACTTTATATTTAGAGCTTTTTCTGGCTATCACATATTACAACAATATGAAACATAAGTTCTATAGATAGTTCTTTCTGGGTTCAGTAGGTACATGGATATCTCTGAACCACCTAATTCAAAGGGGCAGTGAATTAGTTGAGAGAATATTTATTTATGGGTCCCTAGTTTTTTCATACAAGGCCTCTAACTATTTCTGTGTCATGTATTTTTGAAGTATATTGTGTCATGGATATAGAATGTGCAAAAATTATGTCTGACATTTTAACATTATTCATGGTAGATTTTTCCTGTTTTCTCACTTTGTCAAAATTATTTAGTTTTCTAAGTTTATTGTAATACAGATATGGGCACAAAAGAATAAATACTTTTCCAGTCAGAAAATGGGAAAAGAAAATTAATGGAAAATATTAGACAGAGTTGTGGAGTTTTAAAAAATGAGAAAAATTTAATTTGAAAGATTTAAATTCTTTTTAAAAAGTTTTTTGAGACAAGGTCCTGCTATGTAGTGTAGGCTGGCTTTGAACTGTCTGTGTAACCCAGGCTAGCTTCAAACTTGTGGTGATCCTTCTGCCTCAGCCTGAGTACTGGGATTATAGGGATGCACCACCATGCCTAGCTGTTTAACAATTTTAGTTGTGATAAAAAACATAAAGTATACCATTTTAATCATTTCTAAGTGTATAGTTCAGTAGTGTTAAATATATTCACATTGTGTAACCAGGTATCTCCAAAACTTTTTCATCTTTCAAAACAAACTCTCTACCCATCAATAATTCTCCATTTCTACTTTCCCCCAGCAACTGGCAACCAGCTCTACTTTCTGTCTTTATAAATTCAAGCACTGTAGTTCACACATACAAATAGAGTCATACAGTAGTTTTTGGTGACTAGTTTATTTTACTTGCAATAATGTCAGGGCTTATCCATGTGTCAGAATTTCCTTCATTTTTAAGGCCAAATAATATTCTATTATGTGTTTATATATCACATTTTATTTTCCAATCCACAGATTAGAGTGTGAACTAAGTATTAAAACACTATGGCAGAGAGAAATAATTATTCTTCTATAAGATTTTGGGTAAAATATATATTATTTGAGTATGATTAAGTGATACTTCATTAAAAACTAGAAAGTATTTGGTACATTATAGAATTTTTCTTCCAATGAGAATTTTACAGCTTTTTATTGATATGTCATTTTTTAGAGAATACTGTGTTTATGGTTTTTCTTAATTCTCATTTTTTCATTTTCAGGGTCAGTGAAGACATGAAATTAACTGATATGGAGCTAGGAAAGCTGGCAAATAATATCCAAGAATTATTGTATAGTGCTTCAGACATATGCCACGATCGAGCTGTCAAATTTCTCATGGCAAGAGCAAAGGTATTTTCACCAAGCATTAGATATTTTATATTTATATGTAACATTATTGTAAAGATGCAGAGTTATATCTTTATATATCTATACTTTCCATATGCATATTATAGTTTTAATAATTAATAAAGATACTGGTATTAATGGTACCTCAGTTCACAAACGCTTTTGTTTGCAAACAATTTGGTTCACAAACAGAAGCATTTTTGGCAAAATTTTATTTTTGTTTGTGAACTCTGCATCAGGTGACAAACATGACTGTGGCCATCTTTCCCACACGAACGTGAACATGGCCATCTTTTCCTGAACTGTGGAATGAATTAAGCTCGTGAACTTAGGTATTGAGTTGTAAAGATACTGAGAGAGTAAGGGAGATGCTGAGATGTAAAGTAATTAAATAAGAGAAAAAATTACTTTCAAATAATTATTAAAGGACTTATTTTAAAATATAAAACCTTAATGATTAATTTGAATCATAATATGCTATTTTATATATATTATACACATATATAATTATATATAGATGTTATTAATAAAATTTAAATGCCAGTATTGTGAAAATTTTATGGTATGACCTGAATTCATTTGAGTTACTGTACTAGTTATATAGAATCAGAGTCAAATTTGACATCTTCAGTTTTCCATGTTCAATTTTTGGGTCTGAAGTATTGCATAATTTCATTTCAATGATATTATTGTTATTAATTTCAAATATGATTAATGATATAATTAATGCATTATAAAATGATATAATATTAACTCATTAAACTATGTTGGTTTTATAGCTTACCATGTTCAATATACTAACTCCCTCTCATGATTTTTGTGTTACTTTTAAAATTTAGGATGGCTTTCTTGAGAAGCTAAATTCCATTGAATTCATAACACTTTCTAGATTAATGGAAACATTCATTTTAGACACTGAACAAATTTGTGGAAGAAAAAGCATGTCATTACTTGGAGCACTTCAGGGTCAAGCTAACAAGTTTGTAAATAGGTTTCATGAAGAGAGAAAAACCAAGCTCAGGTATCATCACCGTATGTTTCATTCTTCACTTTTGTTTGTTGCAAAGCACAATTATTACTGTAAAAAGAAAACTTAATTGACTGCGTAGCCAGAATTCCTAATGAAAAAAGTTTTTGATAAAAGCAGATTATGGAATTAAAATCACATTTCTTGGCTTTTCAAAATAGAGTTAAAATGTTTACTTCTATTATAAAGTACTTATCAGGAAGATATCCTCAGTAGGTTGACTTTTTTATCCATTCAAAGGTAAGTAAATTATGTTTTATCATTCTCCTTGATTAGGCTAAGAGATATAAAAATACTTTCTGAAAGTATTGGTACTGTACTACTTATAAATGATTCCAATTAAGGTGTTCAGCTCTTTTAAAGTGTTACATACTCAACTTGCTTTTATTTTCAATCAAGGAAGATGGTGTTGAAATATTATTAAAATTAACCTTCTTTTCTTTTTAATTTTGAATAGCCTTCTTTTGGATAATGAGCGCTGGAAGCAAGCTGATGTTCCTGCAGAATTTCAGGATCTTGTTGATTCTATATCAGGTGGAAAGATTGCTTTACCTGAAAAAAAATCCGGGAGTACGTGTATTCTTTCACACTTTCTTCCAATATCATGTTGTTTGTTTACTTTTTAATAATGCTTAATACTTTTTAAATTTGTAATGCCTTGAAAAGCCTAGAATACTGAAGCATATTAAATAGTTGACAGGAAAAGTATTTATAGTAATTTGTAATAATAATTTCAAATACTATTAATCATGTGCCAGACATTTGATGATGTGTTTTACATGTATTACTTCACTTTATCCTCAGAAAAACCTACAATTAAATTACTACTATTGTTCCTTAACCATGAGGATGCTTGAGGTTTAGAGGGATTGGAGAATTTTACACAAATTATAGCTGGGGCTTGAACCTAACTTTATGTCATTTTACAGCTATATATTTCTTAACTCCTGTACCAAATTGTTTAGAGATACGTTTTCATTCAGTGAACACTAGTTAGCTTCCATTTTGTGTCATTTATTGAGACAGATAACAGCTATAATTCTGTTTTTAAAGAAGATAGGTTTAATGAATGAAAACAAAAGAATATATGACTGATCACAAGTAATAGAGGAAACCAAAATGTAAAGAACTGTAAAGGGGGAAAAAAAGAACAGCAAGGCAAAAAGAAAAAGGAGTGGAGAAGTAGGAAGAAATCAAGAACATAGATGTAAAAAAATTGTAGGTTCAACATGAGAGAATTGTCATTGGTGCCAAATACAGTTAAGTTTGATATGAAAGGGATATAATAGTAAAGAGATTTTTTTTGTACGTAAATTGAAACAGAGTTGTATGATAACGTAAATTTACATACACTCAAATTACGAAGCTTTTGAATATTTTAATGGAGAAAGTAGTTGCATTATTTCAAATTTTATATATTTAATGAAGATTTAATTTTTTTTACATAGAAATATTCTCGAATTGTGTACTTCCCATTTGCACAAAATGCAACTGCACTACAAGAGAAAGATAGTACAGTAAGATAGTAACCATTGGTTTGACATATAGGAGATTGCTTGCAATTGTAGTAATTTAATGTAGTGATGGGAGTCAGTGTGCAGTTCAGTGCTAAGGGTGGGTAGACAAGTAGAGTATACCTTTTCAGTAAGTTTGACTGTAAAGGGAAAGTAAGTTGAGGTGGTAGCTAAAGAGATGAGCAAAATTGGAGAGATTTTTACATTAATCCACTCAGAAGGTAGTTGAGAGGTTTTTTTGAGGTTGGAGAAGCTGAATTTTTATATTTAATAGAAATAGATAAAAGAGTGAGAGAGAGTAATTTATAAGGCAAAGTGCCAAGAATTGAATTCAGAGTTTAAGATAATGACTTCTTACCTCTTCTGCCACTATGACAAATGGGAAGGGGTTAAGATTAGGTATAAAATTAGTTTATATGGGGCAGAGAGAGAAATTGAAAGAACTAAGTAAATTTCTATTTGGTGACTTTTTTTTTTGGTACTGGGGATCAAACTCGGGACCTTGTGCTTGCGAGGCAGGTGGCGGCACCACTGAGCTAAATCCCTGGCCTAGAGTGACTTTTTAATAGGTAACAGTGTTAGACAGTGGTTGCAATTTTTAAATTGAGTATATGATATTATCAAAATATAAGATTTATCACTCATCAAGTCTTTCAGGTTATATTTGACTGACTCGCCACTATGTGAGAGGCTATGCTAGATAACTAGGACATGTTTTCTATTCCTGAACAGCTCATAGTCATTAAATTCTACTGTTATTCAAACCAGAATGATTTTTGAATTAAAATAATATATGAAGAATGATTGGATTAACCTTTTAGTTTTTTTTTCCTTATAGTGAATTATTTTCACTTCCTCTTTGGAAGATTTTGATACTTCTGCCTCAGTCTTTTTTCCTCTCTCCAAACAGCCTAGATACATGCTATTAGAAGTCCAGGAATGTTTTATTAGTTCTTATCAAGGATCCTGGATTGTTATTTATTCACTCATGTTACATTTTTTGAGTTACTAGGCACAAAGCTAGGCATTGGGGAAATAAATTAATTGATATTAATTGATAACTAATAATTGATAAATTAATTGATAAGTTAATTGATAACTGCTAATATTAATTGTGTGCTTTCTTTGTGCCCGACAATATTTGTTCTAAGTACTTTATGTGTGTTACGTCATTTATAGGTCCATGAACTAAACACTTAATATTGCCACTTAACAAATAGGGAAATTTAGGCGCAAAGGGATTAAGCAAGCTTGTCTGGAGTTACATAATTAAGAAGTGGTAATCAGGATCCTCATTCAGGCAGTCTGATGTTAGGGTTCTTATCTACTATGCTGTGTTGCTTTTGTGCAATGTAGAGAATTAGTTACCAAACCGTCCTTGCCTCAAAAGATATGCGCTCGCTTCGGCAGCACATATACTAAAAAGATGTATAGTATGACGTACAGAGTGAATTGTGATAAGGAGTTAAATTGTACTGGACGTCTTTGCATGAAAGAAAAGAAGTAGTAGAGTTCAAAGGGACTTGACATTTAGAGAAGAGCAATAACTTGCCTAATCAAATTATTTTGGTTGATCCAGGATAATAATCCAGTCCATTGTTCATTTCACCGTAAAATACTGAATTTAAAATATCACCTGCTTAAAGTAACTTCTGGGTTAAAATCTTAAGAATTAAATATATAATCTCTTAATTGAATTTAGAAATTAACTCACTCTAAAACTGATAATAACAAAGACAGCCAGTTTAAGTGCTAGTTCTGCCTTTCCAAACTAATAACTTTATAAAAAACTACTTCCTAATCTGTCATGTACCGGGCCTAGAGGATAGGCAATTTGTAATCACTATCCCTGTCACATTAACAACTATTTTGAAAGACAGGTATTACTATCTACATTTCATTTTACAGATATTGAGACTCAGAGAGGTTAAGTAATTGACCTAAGATCATGCTTCTAATAATTGGCAATACTGCAACTCAAATTCACATGTTTTAAACTCTGAACCCTATGTAATATATTTACTCTGAGAAATTGCTTCTCAACAATTAGATAATTTATTTTTAGAAATGAGATAGTTCCAACCCCTAAATAGGAACTGTTCTTTTCAACTTTTTCTTCAGTATTTTGTTTCATCACGTACTGTCTTCTCTTGTTTATTTGCTTTACTCTCTAGCTACAGAAGAAAGGAAACCAGCTGAGGTTCTTATAGTTGAGGGACAACAGTATGCTGTTGTTGGGTGAGTAGTACATGTTTTTCATTGGTTGGGTCAGTTATTTGAAATTTAAATCTTCTGGTTTCCTCTTGAAATGGAAATTTTGAATTAAAATTTTCAGTCCTATAAAATATTTTTTTTTGGTACCGGGGATCAAACTCGGGTCCTTGCACTTGTGCAGCAGGCAGCAAAACCACTGAGCTAAATCCCTGGCCCTAGTCCTATAAAATATTTAAAGGATATTTTATGGATTCCTTTCTATTTCCTATAGTTTGTAGTTTGCTTTATCCATTAAAGATTACACAGTATTAACAAAAAGACTGATTTTTCTCATATACAATACTATGAAATGTAGACAGTCTAAGGGTTTTTGATGGCTCCATGATGTTATTACCATCCTAGGCTCCTGCAGTCTTTTTTTCTACAGGTTTCTTAATGTGTTATATCACACAGTAGTTTAAGTTGTGGGCTCCAAATGTGGAAAATAGTTCTATACATAAAAATATTGTGAAAATGAAACATAATGCTTTAAAGCATTCAGCATAGTTCTGCAATAGTTGTTTTTATCATCATCATTTGAATCATTAGGTCTTTTTACTCTTTATTAATTAACATATCTCTAATTCAAGTTAACTTGGAAACATACAAATTCCAAAATTGTCTGCTATTACATGCCATCTATTAAATAGATAATTGAGATGATAGCTTCATATTCTTGCTACAAAATGTCTTCATACTCTTTAATAGCATTTTACAGTTTATATATTTTCATGGATATGATCTCATTTGATCTTTACCACCCCTTTGTGAAGTAAACATGTCAGAGATTATTGGTTTTTTTCCTGAAATACTAGAATTGCAGCTTTGAAGGTTATATGGTTAACATAAAATATCCAAAATTGAGTCAGAATTTGGATCTGATTCCCAACATTTAGGGCATCATTCTTTTTCAGTTTTGTTTGTTTCTTGTCATTGTTTTTAAAAATAGGTACCCTCTCCAGAAAGAACATAACTCTGTGTGCCTATGTCATGGCATTTACTTTAGTATAATAGAATTATTTCTTTGCTGGGCATGGTGGTGCACACCTGTAATCTCAGCACTCTGGGAGGCTAAGAAAGGAGGATAGCAAGTTTGAGTCCAGCCTGGGCAACTTGGTGACTTAGTGAGACCCTGTCTCAAAATAAAAAAATAAATGGTTGGAGATGTAGCTTAGCGCAAAGGCCCTGGGCTCAATTCCCAGTTCTGAAAAAGAATTATTTCTTTATGTTTATGTCTCCTTAAGATTCTGCAAAGGTAAGGGATTATCTCTTACCATTTTTATTTTTCTTGGCACCATAATAAGCACTCAGAAAGTATGTACAGAATTGATGCTTTTTCTCAGTCTATACTCAAGCTTCTGAAGTATACAAATTCCAAATTAATATCTCATTTCCTTTCTCCTCTGGAGTTCTTCCACTTTCTTGTAGGGAAAATCTTTTTTTCAACCTCCTTGTAATCTCACCCCTTCAACTTAATATGATTTCCCTCTTTAACTACCCATTGTCTGGTTATGCTTCATGTGTGTGATGGAAATGGTCCCTTCTGGCTATCTGGTTTTCTGGCTCTTTAGGCAAAGAGGCTATTGCTAAAAAAGCTGACTTCCCTGGCTAAAGGGCAACTATTATATCTTCTGAGAGAAGACTACAAAAGATATACAGTGGACTCATGCCATGTAGAGCAGGCTGTAGGAATATGTGTAGAGAATAATACATGGACTGATAGGTAAGCCATTATAAAGACTAGACACTATCTTTCTTGAATTACTACTTTTTGATAATCTGCAGACTTTTATAAAGTATTATTTTACATGGATTTTTCAGTTCTGCACATCTCACAATTAATTTATATGTTCTATAATAAATGGTTCTTTCGCCCCTTAAGTTCAGTCTCATTTAACCTCCCAATAATGTATTTTTCAGTTTGTGACCTGTTCTGCCACTGAGGTGACAATTTATCTTTGCAGAACCTTTTGTGACCTACTATTAATCTTTGTAAGAGATATATGATCCTAAGAAGCCATTGTAGCTTCTCCTTTATATCACTAAGGATTGGGCTCCCTTCATTGCTTCAATAGTTAGGATTTAGGGCTGAGTTCGTAGGTAATCAAAGACACTGTCTATTCATTTGGTCAGAATGTCTGGATTGACCAAAGAGTGGAATACTTGCCTTATTGAAAAACTTTCTTAATCAGAATGCCTCACAGAGTGCTATGCCAACAGCACAAAATTTGATGAGCCACTCATTCTCAGTGTCATACAACTGTTAACTCTACAACTGCACAACTCAGAGAGTGAGTACCTTCTTAAACACTGCTCTGGCCACTTTTCTTGCCTCATTTGGCCAGCAGTTGGCTGCACTTACAGATGAAACACATAATTTAACAGTTACCAATTTTAGTGTAAACACACATGTATTGAACTGATAAGTAATTTGATTTTATATACCAAATCAGTATAGTTTTTCTTGTTTTGATTGCCTATGAGTCATCTTTCTCTTTTTTTGTAGAACTGTGTTGTTGTTAATAAGAATTATTCTTGAATATTGCCAGTGTGTGGATAACATCCCATCTGTCACTACTGATATGCTTACTCGTCTGTCAGATTTATTGAAGGTGTGTATGACTTTACCATTTTATGAAAAATAGTTGGAATAATTGAATCATAAGGGTAAAGATAATCTCTCGACTAAGACAATTCAAGGTCAAGTTGCCATTAAGGCATTAATTTTGTGATATGTGATCATGGTTACATCACAACATGTTACTGGAAAAAAGGCTGCCTGCTTCCTTCTCACTCCACATTTAGCGATTCTTCATTACACCCATAGAGTTGTTAATGACATTGGAGACAGGAGATGATTTGTTCGTTAGGTGCTGAACATGACTGAGGCCACTTAGGTCAAAAAACCTGGACTGGTTTCACATGTGCATGGAAGGAATTCACTGAACTTTACAAAATTCATCTCACTAAGGTTAGAGATTTTTCTTACATCATTCTTTCAGAAGCATTGATATAAAATGAAAATGTGGTGATAATTTTATTCAACCATTTCATACTAACATATTTTTACTGCTAGTAGGAAAGGTTTTTTTTTTTAAACCCATATTCTGTTGGTTAATTTTATCCTGAACTTGAGTTTTGGTAATGAAAGGTTTTTACTCTTTTGAAAATAAGACTGAAATAGTTTTGAAACTGAGCTAGCTTTTTGAATGAAAATTTCTAAAAACTGATTTCTATAATTTCTGAATTTTTTCTCCTGAAGTAAAAATTATGGTTTAGAATTTCTCTCCCCTTTTTTCATTATTGCATAAATAGATCTTAATTGCTTCCATTTAGTCCTTGACTAAGATGAAAGAGGAATGTTTTTAGGACAGTTAACACATTGCCAGCCTTTAAAGATTAGTTTTTAATGAATTGTTGAGATTTTGTTTTTTCTCCTTCCTTTGTTAGTACTTCAATTCAAGAAGTTGCCAGTTAGTTCTTGGAGCTGGTGCACTGCAAGTTGTTGGACTAAAAACAATAACTACAAAAAATTTGGGTATGAATTCTTCCATTTAATACTGAGGTGTTATAATGATGTCACTTTTCTTTTTTTTCTAAAAATACAATTTAATAGGGACTTACAAACAGAAGCACTTCTTGGGCAGAAGAAAGACAAGAGTTGTCACTTTTCTCATCATGTTTTTATTATACCAGATGTTTTAATGGCTCTAAGCAAAGGCTGTAAAAGTGACAAGTGGTACTTCATTATTTTATGTATTATAGCTGAAAGACTAATTTCTGGGGAAATGTTATAAGGAACTTCCACTGTAACAAGTATAAGTTATTTGAAAACTGCAAATGTTTTCAAATAGAAAATATTAAGTTGTAATGTGTATGAAGTACTTTGAGCAGAAGGGTATTCAAATGTCAGAAAAGAATCAGTTGTCTTTTTAGTGTCCTTATACTGGTAATGCTTACAACTAAGTCCATTTGGGAAAGTTCATTATATTTTTCTCCAGCAAATTCTTTTCTTTTCTTTTTTTGGTACTGGGGATCGAACTCAGGTCCTTGCACTTGCGCAGCAGGCGGCAAAACCACTGAGCTAAATCCCCAGCCAGCAAATTATTTTCTTAAGAAAAATAAAGTGTGTTGCCTTCTGCTATGGTGTTCTTCCTTTATGAAATAAACTGAAGTCTGTATAAAATTGACTTTTTTTACTTAATTTGATTTATCATTAAAATCAACTAATATCTTTTTTGTTTTGCCATTATATATCCACTCTTTAGCTCTTGCTTCACGATGTTTGCAGTTAATTGTGCACTACATTCCTGTGATCCGGGGTCATTTTGAAGCTCGACTACCACCTAAGCAATATAACATGCTTAGGCATTTTGATCATATCACTAAGGTATTTTTCATGTGTTTTCTATTTAATTTAATTGTTAAGTATTTGTTGGACATATCTCAGGAACTCTAAAATATAATACTATTTCTCATTACAGGATTACCATGACCACATAGCTGAAATATCAGCGAAGCTTGTGGCGATAATGGATAGCTTATTTGACAAGCTGTTATCAAAGGTAACAATTTATGAAAGTCATTAGGCTTTGTTAAGTCACAAAGGCATTGTGGCTTTTCATTTTATAGGGAATCCTTTACACACAAGTTAAGATGTGATAATAAGAGAATCTAAATTTTCAGAAGATTTTCACAATTGGTAGAATTTTTAACAGTTTTTCAGAAAAATGTGACTATCTGCCATGACCAAGGCTACCCATAAGTGTTCTAACTTATAGTTGTCTAACAAATCAAATGCCCCAGAATTTAAAAACAACTCATGAAAATGTTCGGATTTCCAAAGTAATTAATATTTATCTTCTAAAGGGCTGGTAGGAGTAAGGGAGATGATTCCAAGGATAATAGAAACCTTGCACAAAAGTATTTTTTATATTGGCTCCATTGACAAATGTATACCATGTTCAAAATAAACTTTAGTTTGAAAGTATTCCAGAGACAGAGTAGAAAGGGCAAAGATCAAAATAGGAAAAATAAATAATTTGAGATAAAATGTGTTGCTATTTTCCAGACTAAAAAGTCTATCAAACGACAGTACAATCTGAAGTATTCCATTATTTCTGTCATAGCTAATCAATTTCAATGTTTGTTTCTTCTCTGCTTTTCATTCCCAATAGATCATTAAACAAAGTGATGATCTCCAAAGAATTCTCAACTACAGTGGGAGGGTATTTTCAGGAAAATGTCATTTAATCACTCCAGTTGCTTTGCCCTATCCCTTTCCCTGGTCCTTCAATCCATATCTTGAGGGGAAAGCATAAATTTCATAACTTAAAAGTTTGAAGGCTTATTTAGTGTACATTCTATGTCCAAGATCATATTTAGGCTACAGAACTTTGATTTGCTTTTCCTTCTACTTGCATCTTTCACATTCTGAAATTGCAGAAATAGCAAGCATATAAGAACCATAAAAGGATAAGATAAAATGATGCCCATTTGTATACATAGACATAGTTCTAATCCTTTGAAAATGGCATTCACAAGGAATGCTTGGAAAATAAAAGTACATTGGGGTAATTGTTCTTAAGTTTCAGTCAAAGGACCCCTTTACATCCTTAAAAATTACTGAGCACTTCAAGGAATTTTTGTTTATGTAATGTATCAGTAAGCACCATTTTAAAAATTAAAAGTATGGTATTTTAAAACACAAGAATACACAGACATACCTTCTGTTACTCTTCAGAATGATAACATCATTACAAGTCATCTAAAAATCCCTGCTGTTTAATCATGAAAGAATGAGAGTACAAAAAGATAACTAAGATCTTAGCATTATTATGGAAATGGTTTTTATTTACCAGATTCCCTGAAAGGATCTGTGACTCCTAAGACTCCCCAGACTACACTTTGAAAACCTTAAGTGTGGTTGATAACATGTTACTTTATGCTTCACTTTTAGGAAGCTTAAGGAATTTATAGTTATGTGTACACATACCTTTCTATTTATGATTATTAAATTAGTTTCTAGATTTTTATGAGAAAAATTATTTAGAAATTCTCTATTTTCTTCATAGTTGTCAAGTACAAGCTAAACTCAAAAGCAATTCTATTCCAGGCCGGGGATTTAGCTTAGTGGCGCCATCACCTGCCTTGCAAGCAGAAGGTCCTGAGTTCGATCCCTGATACCAAAAAAAAAAGTATATTACAAAAGCAATTCTGTTCCACCAATTTCCTTTGTTATATAAAACATTCTTCTGAGTAATAAAAGTCACTAACATATTCCACCTTTAAGAAATTTACCATGCATGTAACAAAGCAGTAGACTATAAACTCCTGACAATGTAGAATAAACATTAGAATAAATAGTAGAACTAGTAATAGGTTGTGAAAAATAATGAAAGCAAAACCAAGAATGTGTCAGTACTCCTAAAATCCTGACTTAAATCTTTCATTTTGATCATATATAGTTTTTGAACAAGAATTTCCCTATGACAACTTGATTTATTCTTTGTTTCTTCTATAAAGAAAAATAATTATTTAATGAGTTTTCTTTATGTTTATATTCATCACTCATATTTAACAATAACATTTTGCTAAAATATTTAAAAATAACTTTAAGACATTACAGTATTTATAAATACTTAAGTCTAAGTTTTTTAAAACTAGGAACACATTCTTCTATAACCAAATTACCATTTTCACACCTAACAAATAATTCTTTAATATCATCTGTTTTTGTATTTGAAAATTATTAATTATCCCAAAATATCTTGTCTCCTAGGTGGTTTTTTTTTTTTAACAAAGTAGCACACTTTCTCCTTGTTTTTTGTTTGGTTGGGGTTTTTTGGTTGTGTTTTTAGGATCATTAATTGAAGAATGTGGCTAGACTTTTATAAAAAAGTGTTCTTTCCCTAGCTTCCCCAGTGATATCTTCTGTTACCTGGCATATTACATTGTCTTTGTATTAGTAAGTCTCTCTTTGCCACTCCCTATCCTGTTTGCTTTCATGTGTTGCATGAGAGTTTAATCCTGTTTTTGAATTCATACCAAAATAAAAGACAGGTTTGGCTTTTGATTTGTCTTTTGGTTTTTGGCCTTTCATTTTCTTACCTGAAATTTTAATTTTGGAAACAAAGGCCAAATATAATATACACTAATTCTAAGAAGCTAATAAGTAAGGGTACAATTGTGTGGGCAGAATGAAACTTTAATATCTTATTGTACTAATGGCTAGACTAATGTCTTAGCCACCACTCATTCATTCATTCTGTAAATTATGTGCAAACCATTGTGTTAGGTAACAGAGGAACACATGAGAGTAAATAAGCCTTCCATCTTGTCCTCAAATAGCAAAATATCTAGTAGGGGAAATATATCAGTAGCTACAAGAAAAGGTAGAATATGTAAGGTGTTATAAGTAAAGAATTTAGTGCACTGGAACTTTTAGTGCTTTGGAAGAAACAGTTGTTACCTGAAGAGGAAGATATGAGAAAGCTTTATAAATGAAATGTGTATAAATTTTGCTTTTAAAGATGGATAAGATTAGGACAAATGAAACTGAGGTGAGATTTTTGAGGTACCATGATGAACAAACATGTTGGAATCATAAGAACATAATTCAGTGTCAAGACTTTAGAGTAAAGTGGACCTAAATTCAAATCCCATGTTTGTTACATATTAGCCATTGAAGAATCTTGGGCAAATTGTTAGTCTCTTAAGGCTCTGTATCCATCTCTAAATGGAGATAACAGTAGAGCTTATGTCATAAGATTATAGTTAAGATTAATGACATAATATGTGTGAGGATTAATGAAATAATGTATCTTTTACTATATATGGGACTATAGCAAATTCTAGGAAATGTTGGCTGCTAATATTTTGATGTTATTAATAATAACAAAGGTAACAGTTTCCATTTAGCTCATGCCTTGGGGTGGGTGCATAGAGGAGTTAGAGATATGTTGGAAAGATAGTAAAGATCTGTGACTATCAGTAGAAAACTAAACAATTTAAATGAAGTATAATTTATAGTCAGTAAAACTCACCCTTTCTAAGTATATGATTTGATGACTTTAACATATATAGTAGAGGAACTATCACAAGATATGGAGCATCACTGGTAAACATTCTCTTGGACATTTGTAGTTTATTTTTGCCTTTTCCAGAATGTCCTTTAAATGGAATCATACAGAATGTAGCCTGTGTGCCAGCTTCTTTCATTTAAACATAATACTTTTTGAATTGATATATAACATGTATCAGTGGTTTGTTCCTTTTTATTATAGGGTAATATCTATTGTGTGAATGTACTGCTATTTGTACTATTTGTTTATTCACCAATTGATAGACATTTGAGTTTTGTTCAGTTTGGGGCTGTTATGACTTAAGATGTTACAGATATCCATGTACAGTCTTTGTGTGGGTGTGTTTTCATTTTTTTAGTATAAATACCTTGGAATAAGATTGATGATTGTGAATTATGGAAATGTAATACTTAATGGTATTTTTATTTTTAAAAGTGCCAGATTACTTTCTAGAATGTATTACTTTGCCTTCTTTCTTGCCATTCATGAGTTCTAGATACTCCTCATCTTCACCATAACTATTTAGTGTCTGCCAGATTTTTAATGTTAGTCTCTAGTAGGTATGTAAGGAGTGATATCTCATTGTGTTTTGGTTTATTTCCCCAGTGCTGGGGATCCAATCTAGGGCCTTGTGCATGCTAGACAAATGCTATACCTCTGAGTTATGTCCCTAGCTCCTTCTTGTGGTTTTAACTTGCATAATGACAAGTTGTGCATCTTTATGTGTTTGCCATCCATATCTTTTCTTTAGTAAAGTGTTCAATTTTTTTCCTCATCTAAAAAAACTGGGTTGTTTATCTTCTTATTGAGTTCTTTATATATCTTGAATACAAGTCCTTTATCAAATATATGGTTTGTGTAATTTCTCTAAGTCTGTGACTTATCTTTTCATTTTGTTAACAGAATCTTACAAGAATAGTTTTTATTTTTGATGAAATCCAGTGTATAATTTTTTTCTTTTTTTGTTCATGATTCTTGTGTCATAACGTAGGAAATCTTTGTATAATCCATATTACAAAGAAATTCCCCAGTGTTTTCTTTTAGAATTTTTATTGTTTTCGATGATCCATTTTTAGTTAATTTTTAATTGACTAATATCTGGACTAGCTAAGATATGATAATATTTTTTCAGGTGATAAAAAGCATTAAAGGACTTACATAGAATGATATTTCTCCATTGAGGCCATTTTGCTCTCTGCAAACTCCATTCCAGGACATTTAGAAATGTTGGGCACCATTTTGGTTGTAACAACTTAGTGCTAGAGCTCAAGGTGCTACTGCTAGCTAGTGAGTAGAAACTAGGCATGTGCTAAGTATTTTACGAGATAAAGGACAGCACTAGCCAGCCCAAAATGAGAATAATGTGGAGGTTGAGAAACTCTGAAGAACAAACTAGTGTACAAAATAATTTGGTTGATGAGACTTAGGTGTTGATCCAATACAAGCAAACAAGGAAAAGGAAGAGTAAAAACTGAATTGGAAATCTCAAGTTGTTGTGTGTGTGACCAGGAGGATGATGATAGCAGTAACATTAATGAAAATGAGGAGGAATAGGATTGGGAGAGTCATGGTAAATTCAGTTTTGGAATGGAACACTTAGGAAATATAAGACTTAAATCCAAGAAAGTTGCCTTGAGATTGGATGAAACTGATGACAGAAAAGAGGGCACATTAAGGGAGATTACAGATAAAGAAGCCTTGCACTTAGATGACTAGAGACTGAAGAAGAGGAAAATCAAGAGGGGAAGAGGCAGGGAGGCATACTGTTACATAGGACAGTATTTAAAGTATGACACAGTGGAGAAATGCCACAGAGTGATGAGGAAGGGGAGCTGGGAAAGGTACTAAATTTCTAAGTTGGGATGTCTTTAGTGATTTTTTCACAAAGAAATTTCGGAAGGATAGTAGAGGAAGTTTGGTGACAAAAAAAATTTTTAAGTGTTGAGAGTAAGGTACAGTGTCATGTATATAGGTGACTGAAAAAATGTGACAGTGAAAGTAAAATGGAAAAGAATAGTATTTTTTTTTTTTGTACTAGGGATCAAACTCAGGACCTTGCACTTGCGAGGCAGGTGGCAGCACCACTGAGCTAAATCCCCGGCCTGAAAAGAATAGTATATATATATATATTTTTTAGAATAGTATTTTTACAGAAAACAGTATCCATCCTCTGTAAACCTGAACGAAGGTCTTTGGGGGAGTGTATTTGTTTTTTAGTCCTGCTATAACAAATTACCACAAACTAGGTTACTTAAAACAACAGAAACTTGTTTTTTCACAATTCCAGAAATGAAAAAATCCCCAATCAAGGTATCAGCCAGGTCTTGCTGTATCTGAAGGTTCTAGGGAAGAATCCTTCCCTGCCTCTTATTAGCTTCTGGTGATTGGTGTCAATCCTTGACTTGGAGTTGCTTAACACCAGAACCTATCTTCAGATTCTTTTCTTCCCTCCTTGCATTTCTATGTCTGGATTTCTCACTCTTTTCTTTTATAAAGACAACAGTTAATTTAGGCCCATTCTAATCCACTATGACCTCAAGAAGTACCAGGTAGACATGAATTTGGCAGGGGGACTGTTTATCAGCACGGAAGGGTAGTTAAGATGTTACCATAATGAAATAACACTTCATACCCACTAGAATAGCTTTTAAAAAAGCATAAAACAAGTTTTAGAGAAATTAAAGTCCTCATATATTGCTGATGGTATTGTAAAATGGTCCATCCATTTTGGAATACAATTTGGCATTTTCTCATAAAATTAAGCATATGTCCTGAGAATAGTGGAAACAGTATACTATCCAGAGTATATAATCATAATTCTCATTATTTTTCTCTGCCAGTATGAGGTGAAAGCTCCTGTACCTTCTGCCTGTTTCAGGAATATTTGTAAGCAAATGGCAAAAATGCATGAAGCTATATTCGATCTTCTTCCAGAAGAACAAACACAGGTAAGTAGTAATTCCCTGAATTACTTTTGTGTATATGATGTATATGGTACTATCCATGCATATTGGTGTGTTTTTAAATGTTTTTGGCAAAGTTAAGCTTAGGGCATTTTCCAGTATGATTGTTATCTTTTTTAAAATTTGTTTTATTAGTGGAAGATATTTAAATTTTTCTAAGTGTCCTTTGTTCTGACAGAAGAGAGCTATAACTTTGCTATATGGCCATTAATTCTAAAAAGCAGGTTTTCACTTGTCCATGGTCAGAGGTGTCAGATTCTACTTACAGCACTCATTACATTATTAGTTTGAAAATCAGAGTTGGCTTTTATTAATGAGTATTAAAATGTGTTAATTTACTGTGGTTGTAATCCAAATTGGATATGAAAAGAGTTAGTGATGGAGTTAGTAAGATTAATACACATAACTAACTCAGTCTGCTTGATCATTAGTACTTGTTAAATTAACACAAGTTACCTATAGTAGAAAAAATAGGAAGAGAGGGGTCTTTGGCACCTCTCACCTATGAAGTATTCATGCTTTCTTCTTACAGTGCTCCCTTCCAAAATCAATTTTCTTCACTCTTTAGTGACCGCTCCCCACCCAACCCACTACATTCCTTGTTCTCTGCTCCTGAAACTTTGAAGGTTCCAACATTTTTTTCCCTCTTGTCTTATATTGCTGTGGTATGATGCTTTTAATTCTTTCAGAGAAGATACCAAGAAGGGAAATAGCTGGGTCCAATGGAACCTTTAGTTTTAGTTTTTTGAGGAATCTCCACACTGATTTCCACAGTCTGGTTTTCACTGATTTGCACCAGACTATACTCCCACTAACAGTACACAAGGATTCCTTTTTTCCAAAATCCCCTCCCACATTTGTTATTGGTTGATTTATTGATAACAGCCATTCTTTCTCAGGTGAGGTGGAATCTCAGCATTGTTTGCATCTCTCAAATGAACAGTGATGTTGAGCAGTTTTTCATATATTTATTTGGTGTTTCTGCTTCTTCATCTGAGAAGTGTCTTTTCATTTTAGATGCCCATTTTTGAATTGAGTCTGTAAATTTTGGGAGTCTGATTTTTTTGAGTTTCTTACATATTCTAGATACTAGTCCTTTGTCTGAGGAATAGCTGGCAAAATTTTTTTTCCCATACTATAGGTTGTCTCTTCACTCTGGTTTCTCTTGCTGTGTAAAAGGTTTTTAATAAGATGAGATCCCAGTTGTTGACTCTTTGTGATAGTTCCTGTGCAGTCAGGGTTTTGTTCATAAAGTCTTTACCCACACCAATGTCTTTGAGAGTTCTACCTATTCTATCTTCTAGCAGATTGTTTCTGTTTTAATATTTAGATCTTTGATCCATTTCGATTTTAGTTTAGTGCATGGTGACAGATACGGGTCTAGTTTCAATCTTCAGCATGTGGAAAGCCAGTTTTTCCAGCACCATTTATTAAAGAGGCTGTCTTCTAGTGAAGGTGTTTGGCTTCTTTGTCAAAGATAAGATGGCTGAGTATGTCTGGAGTTGTTTCTGTGTCTTCTAATCTGTTCCATTGATCCTCATGTCTTTTTTTTTTTTTTTTTTCGCCAGTACCATGATGTTTTTATCACAGTAGCTTTGTAGTATAATTTCAAGTTGAGGATTTTGATGCCCCCTGCCTTGCCTTTGTTGCCCAGAATTGCCTTTGCTATTCTAGGTCTTTCTCATTCCAAATGAATTTTAGGATTGTTTTTTCTAATTCTGTGAGATAAATGCTGTTGGAATTTTGATTGGAATTGCACTAAATTAGTATAACAATTTTGGAAATATATTAGTTTTTCCTGCCCAAGAACAAGGGATGTCTTTCCATTATCTGATATCCTCTTCGATCTCCTTTTTTGGAGTACTATAGTTTTCATTGTAGAGGTCTTTTACTTCCCTGGTTAGATTGATTCCTAGGCATTTCATTTATTTGGATGGTGTTTTTTCCCCTAATTTCTCTCTCAGTGAGTTTGTTATTCATGTACAGGAAGGTTATTGAATATTGAGTATTGATTTTGTATCCGGCTATACTACTGAATTTGGTTATTAAATCTAGAAGTCATTTGGTGGAGCTTTTGGGGTTTGTGATGTAGAGTATCCACAAATAATGATAATTTAACTTCTTCCTTTTCTATCCTTATTCCTTTTATTTCTTTCTCTTGTCTAATTGCTCTGTCTAGTGTTTCCAGAACTATATTGAATAAGAGTGTTGACAGTGGACATCCTTGTCTTGTTCCTAATTTTAGTGTGAAGGTTTTCAGTTTTTGTCCACTTAGTATGATATTGGCTGTTGGTTTGTCATAGATGGTTTTTATCAGATTGAGATAAAGACCATCTATTCCAATTTTCTGTCGGGTTTTAATCATGAATGGGTGTTGGACCTTGTCAAATGCTTTTTCTGCATCTGTTGAGAAGATCATATGGTTTTTGTCCTTGGCTCTGCTAATATAGTGTATTACATTTATTGATTTGGGTATGTTGATGAACCATCCTTGAATCCCTGAGATGAATCCCGTCTTGGTCATGGTGTATAACCTTCTTGATGATTTGCTGCATTCTGTTTGCCAGTATCTTATTGAAGATTTTTGCATCTGTGTTCATTAGGGAGATTGGTCTATAGTTCTGTTTCTTGGTTGGATCCTTTTCTAGTTTTGGTATCAAGTTAATGCTTGCTTCCAGGAATGAATTTGGGACTATTATTTCTCTTTCAATTTCATTAAAGTGTTTGAGAAGTAGCAGCATTAGATCTTCTCTGAATTTCTTGGAGAATTTAGCAGTGAATCCATCAGGGCCTGACCTTTTCTTTGTAGGTAGGTTTTTAATTATGTCTTCAATTTCATTGGCTGATAATGGTTTCTTCATATGTATCTTGGAATCTTTCCGTTTGTTCTGTGTTTTCCATCTTATTAGAATACAGGTTCTCGAAGTAAGTATTGATGATTTTCTGGATTTCTGCAGGATCTGTTGTGATTTCACCCTTTTCATTCCTAATTGCATGGATTTGAGTCTTTTCTTTCCTTTTGGTTGGGGGTTTGAAACAGGGCCTCCCTATGTAGTTCATACTGGCCTTGAACTCTCTGTAGCCTAAGCTGGCCTTGAACTTGCATGGATCCTCTTGCCTCAGTTGCCTGAGTGCTGGAATTACAGGTGTGTGTCACCACACCTAGCCTTTCTGTTTTTGATAAGGTTGGCTAAGGGTTTATCAATTTTATTTAATCTTTCAAAGAACGAAATCTTGGATTCATTTATTCTTTTTTTTCCTCCATTGCTCTGATTTTTATAATTTTTTCCCTTGTATTGACGTTTGGGCTTAACTTGCTCTTCTTTTTCTAGAAGATTAAGGTTCAGTATTAGGTTGTTTATTTAAGCCTGCTCTGTTTTCCTGATATGGTTATTCACTGCTATAAATTTCCCTCCTAGGACTGCTTTCATTGTGTCTCATAAGTTCTGGCATGTTGTATTAGCATTGTTGTTTAATTGTAGAAACTGTCTAATCTCTTCTTTAGTTTCATCTGTGGCCCATTTGTTGTTCAGGAGGGTGTTATTTAATTTCCATGTGTTTATGAAGTTCGTATGGTTTCTTTTACCATTGATTTCCAATTTCATTGCACTATGGTCTGATAATAAGCATGGGGTGATTTCTGTTCCTTTGCATTTATTTAAGCATGTTCTATGAGCTAGTATGTGGTCTCTTTTGGAGAATGTCTCATGTACAGCTGTGAAGAATGTGTATTCTGATATGGGGTGGAACATTCGGTAGACATCTATTAAGTTCATTTGTTCAAAAATTTGGTTCAGTTCTAATATTTCATTGTTGATTTTTTTTTTTGTCTAGTTGATCTATTTGTTACAGTAGGGTATTGAGGTCTCCCATTACAAATGTATTAGTGCTCATTTGATTTTTCATGTCCATTAATATTTATTTTATATAGTTGGGTGCCCTAGAATTTGGTGCATATATATTTCTGATTGCTAGCTCTTCCTCTTGGATTGTTCCCTTTACAAGGATGTAGTGACCTTCTTTGTCTCTCTTAATCAGTCTTGGCTTGAAGTCCACTTTGTCTGCAAACAGAATAGTTACCCCTGCTTTTTTCCAGGTTCCTGTCACTTGGAGTATTATTTTCCATCCTTTGACTTTCAGTCTATGAATTTCTTTTTTAATTAAATGTGTTTTTGATCATGGCTCATTGGAGTCCTGTGTGCCTCGCTTATCTGTATGTCAAATTCTTTTTCCCTGTTTGGGAAGTTTTCTGCCATTACTTCTGTGAACAGGTTTTTCAAGTCATTTGCATTATCCTACTTTTTCATCGACTCCGATCAATCTTATGTTATTCTTTGCATCATCTAGCAGCTGCTGGATTGATTTCTTATGGTCCCTTGATATTTTTAAGAAATTTTTTTTTCATAATTGCTAATTGCAATCCTGTCTTCTGAATTTGATATTCTGTCCTCACATTGGCTCATTCTGCTGCATATACTTTCAATGGAGTTTTTAATCTCCTGGATATCTGTTTGAATTTGTTTCATGGATTCCATTTCTTTCCTCTGCTGGCATTCATGGTTTCCATCATTTTCCTGAGCTCTTCAATTTTTTAAAATCTCTATCTGCTCTAGAGTCACTAAGCATGTCTTTTATTCTGGTCACCACTGCTGTAGTTATATGAGAAATTTCTGCTTTGATTTTTTTTCTAGAGCCTCATTCTTCTGCTTTGTTACTTCTACTGTTATGATTTCAGAGGGTCCAGGTGAATGGCTCTTGGATTGTTCCACCTCATTGCCCTGTGGGTTTGCCTTTGGTGACCTGAAAGTTGGGGGTGGAGGAGGGTGCTGCATCTTGTTTAAGTGTCTTCTAATTTTATATTTTTTAAAAGTTTAATTCCTGGGTTGATGCTTGTGAATTGCTTATGGCAAGTAGCTTTATTGCCAGTATTCAGAACCCTTAGAAATGACTACTTCTCAGAGGCATCTTCCAGGTGTAGCTGGCTTTTGGGTTTTGAGTCTGTTGTAAGATCCTACCTCCTCAATTTGTTGGTGATGAGAAGTTTCTGTCTACTTGGCTCAGCCACCAGTTCTTTGGCATTGGTCTATAGTTGTTTTTTAAGACCCTTATGTATGGAAGAACAACTCATTAGCGCAATTATGTCACCTTGGCTAAAGTAGTACAAGCAGTAATAACAGTAATATCAAACACAGAAAATGACAAACTGTGGTAAGTATTAATTTACCACCTTTAACCACATGAACTAGATTTGTGGTTATATAACAAAATTTAAAATGAACCAGAAAATAATATGTAATAAAAAAACTCTTAATATGGCAATTTTACCCTTAGGGGAGAAGATTTATAAGGAGTTGGGGGAGAAATAGAAAAAGAGGGAAGAGATTAGAAGCAAGGCTGTATGACAAAGGAAGATCACATAAACTTTCAGAAACTGATTAAGAAGACAGGGAAAGAGAAAGGAAGAAATAATAAGAATAGAAAAAACAACAACAGCAACAAACTAGAAAATGTGTTCAAACAATCAAGAAAAAACAAAACAAGAACGAAAACCAGAAAAGAGGGGAAAAAAAGTCCAATTCAAGGTGTGTCTCTGATGTCAGTGGTAGACCATATAGGCAGAGTCCAGATCCAAATTGATTAATCCCAGCTTTCTGGTGGTGTAGGTGAATAATCCCAGCCAGCCTGCTCCCTTAGTTCCACTGAAGTTCAGATTGGTTTCTGGCTGTGAGGCTGGAACCAAATTTGTTTGAGCCTGCAACATTCCATATGGCCTGCCAGGTTGAACTCAGCTCCCTACCAACTTGAACTCTGCTCTCTGACCTCCTGCTGACTTGAACTCAGCACCCTCACTGAGACACCAGGAACCACTAGGAGTCAGCCCATAGCTGTTCTGAGTTTCAAGCTTAGTTGGCCCCTCCTCAAGATGGCTACATGCCAGTCACCCCCTCCTGGATGACTTCTGAACCTGAATAACTTATCAGCCACTGCAGTCTACTGCATCCTCTGCTCTGTTCCACTGGTGCATTTCTCCATGGAGGCCTCTGGGGTCACCAGTAGTCACTGTGCATCTGCAGGTTTGACTTGCTGTTCCCATGCTTTGAGCCCAGGCCCTGGGAGAAAGTGCTGCTTGCTACCTCCCTTCTCTTTCTTGAAGTCTCTCTTCACTCTCTCTGTGGACTTCATTCAGCTCTCACCTCAGATCCTTCCTGGGTCTTGGGGACCCACTTCCCTCCTTCTCCCCCTCATGCTGCTATGCTCCAGTGTCAGGACACCAAATCTTGGAGAGGCTCTTTCTCTGCTGCTTACCACTCTGTCATCTTTTTCCCTGGTCTTTACTCACTCTAACTTAATACTTTTACATCAGGTGATCTCATTCAAGCCTGGTTGTGGAATGACAGTGTTATAATATGAGCCTAATTGTTGTATAATGTATAAATTAATTTAACTTTCACTGGAATTTTTGCTATTCAAACAAGTTTACTTTTGGTTTGTATCTAATTGTACATGGAAGTGGTTTTTAGGAGTAGGTGATACCTTTCTGTGTCTCTTGCCTACTCTTGCTTCTAATGGTCTTCTTTCTCATACACCTCAGACTTCCATCCTATATCAGCTAATTACCATTTTTCTTCATACTTTTTAGGTTTTTATTAATTATACCAACTTCATGATTAAATCTCTTCCAGCTCCTTTGGGGCTCACTGAGGACTGAAGGGGAACCATTAGATGTGAATTACCCAGTAGGGTCTTTTGGATTTTCTCCTAATTTCTTCCTAACCAGCCCATCAATTTCATTCTACATGCAAAATCCCTCCCACTGACATTCTGACCTTTTGTATTTGCTAAGTTCTAACTTGAGAGTAAGACAGCCAGGTCAGGGAGCTGGGCATATAGATGTTTTTAGCTGTATCATAATTTAAAGGTACTCTTGTCAAAAGTGGGCAAAAATTATAGGTTTTACTGGGCATGGAGGTGCATGCCTGTAATCTCAGCACTTGGGAGGCTGAGGCAGGAGTTCAAGGCTAGCCTGGCTACATAGCGAGTTCAAGGATGGCTTGGACTACACAGTGCGACTCAAAGAACAAAAGAACAACAAAAAACAAACAAAAATGTTGTATGTTTTATGTTGTTATTGCTACTTGAATACCAGAATTGCTCAAAACTTCCATAAGTGATTCTATATATACATCTTTCCCATAGAAAATATATAATTGTATATGATTTTAGATCTGCTATTTCCCAAAGAATTACTAGGCTACTGCATTAAAGATCTGCATACAAGAGTAATAAAATACTTTACTTTGAAATGAATTAAATATAAAGTTATCTTTGCTTTTGTCAATGTCTTTTTTTCCTCTATCAAGTTCCTAGTTAATATATTATGGAATTTTTCACTACTTTTTGTTCTTTTTACCTGTCATAGTTGACACCACTTATATAGCATACAAGAATTCTACCATTCTACAGAAAGGTAGTCTTATTGCTAAAAACAAAATACTTTTGAGAAAGGGAAAAAAGAGCTTTTGTCCAACTAAGGGGATAAACCATAATGAAATTTCAATTAAATACTTTCAGAGAAACATTTCAAAAGTATATGTCAAATAGTTTTGTTTTAAAAATACATTCTCCAGATAATATTGCTAACTCAGATACTTACATTTTCTGTTTCAGGAGATATTTAAGAAACCTAAGTTTTATTTCTTTTTCAGACGTTATTTTTAAGAATTAATGCGAGTTACAAACTTCACTTGAAAAAGCAATTATGTCACTTAAATGTGATAAATGATGGAGGACCTCAAAATGGGTATGATTTTTAATATATTTTTACCACATACTCTTATATTGAATTATTTTAATTATTGATATTTATTCTTTATGCTGTTCTTTTCTACTGTAATCACAATTGGGGACTAAAACTGTAAAACCAGGCTTTTACTTTTTTTTCTGCTTGTGGAGATGATTGTCTTGTCTGTCTGTCTGTCTGTCTGGGTTAAAGTGGTTTATAAAAGATCACTTCCTTACCCAACTGGTTGCTTTTAGTACTGGGGATGGAACCTAGGACCTCATGAGTGCTAGACAAGCACTCTTCCCCTCAGCCCTTTTAAAAAATATTTTTATTTTGAGACAGTGTCTTACTAAGTTAAGTTGCCTGGACTGGCCTTGAACTTGTGATCCTCCTGCCTCAGCCTCCCAATTGGCTGGAATTACAGGCAAGAGCCACCACCCCTGGCTATGTCTCTTTAATTTATTTTAAAGAATAAATTGTATTTTCTTAAATGTTAAAGGAATTTCAAGCTTAAAATTTATAATTATAGAAATGAATTTTAGAGAAATGTATTTCCGGGATCAGAATTTGGCCCTGCCATAAAAACAAACAACAATACACTGAGTTAATTAAAAACAGAAAAACTATATGAAATCTTTAGTCTGCATTATTACCTGATTATGCTTTTTATTTTTAAAGAATTATTTGTTTTCAAAAATTTCAAGGAGGTAGTTCAGTGAGAGTGCGATGTCTTGGGTTTAATCCAATCAAATCAAATTCAGAGCCACAAAAGAGTTAAAGGCAGAACAACAATGAGGACCTCTCATGTAGGTTTACTAACTGTTAAGATCTTACTACAGGGCTGGGGACTTAGCTCAGTGGCACCATGCCTGCCTCTCAAGAGCAAGGACCTGAGTTCAATCCCTGGTACACCCCCCCAAAAAAATCTTATTACATTCTCCTTATCACTCTTTTCTCTCTTCACGCCCTTCCACACACATTCCTGTTTTCAACCATCCAAAAAAGTAGACCACAATCACCAAGAGGTTTGAACCCTAAATACTTTGGCACAAATCCAAAATAAGGGAATGTTTATAAAATCATAACTCTTCCTAAGAAAATCAACATTAAGAGCATCACACCAACATACAGTCAGATTTTTTTTTTTTTTTTGGTACTGGGGATCAAACTTAGGTCCTTGCGCTTGTGCAGCAGGCGGTGAAACCACTGAGTTAAATCCGCGGCCCACAATCAGATATTTTTAATAAGAACACCACACTGCATTACTTTTCTGCTTGATGTCAAGTGATACAAATAGGACATACATATGGTACCTGCCTTCTGAAAAGATAATAGCATATTAAGAATTTAGGGACTCTACAGATGTACACTGTGCCCTGAAGAGACTATTAAAAAAAAAAGTATCTTTAAGGCACATCCTAACTCATACCCTTATTTTAATTCCCATAACTGAATCTAGGTGTATTGGTTGACTATTTTCAGACCAGTGGTTCTGAAGCATCCAAGCAACCTCATTGCTATTATTTTCTTTGTTAACACAGCTATTAGGGGATCAGTATTACCTTAGAGACCTTCATTGTCACTTAACTTATATAGGGCAAGTCAAGCTTTTGAATGATCTGTTGGAAGCTAGGTTTCCCTGAAAATTAATCTCTATACTCTCACCAAGAACATAAACTATCTGCTTAAAAGGAATTTTTGTTTCTGAAATCATTCTAAAAATGTACCTTTTAAAAAATTTTAAGTGAAACTTACATAATATGAAATAAACCATTTTAATATGAACAGTTCAGTGGCACTTAATGCATTCAAAGTATAGTGCAACTACCATCTATGTCCAAAATATTTTATCTACCCTAACGAAAATCCCATATTCATTAGGCATTTGCTTCTTATTCCTCCCTCTCTCCTGCCATATACTTTTAATTTTCTTTTTGTCTATTTTAAGACAAAATTTGTATTTTTAAGATATGCAGAGAATAAAATATTTTGCTTCCCAGAATTGATCATTAACAGTTTTCATTTTCACTTGAAAAATGTTTATCATATTTTTAAAATGACATTTAAAATGGTATACTAAATGAAGCTGAAGTACACCTTCACACCCCATTTCTCATCCCATTCCCTTTTTTCTCAACCCTTTGGCAACATTTGATCTGTATCCTTTCAGTCCTTCTCATTTATTATCTCCATCTCAATGAAAAATATGTGGTACTGTTTGGTAAATGTAATTTACCTATATGGTATATTGCACATAAGTACCTACCTTTAAAATTTGTGTTGAAAAGTCTGCTATAATCCTAATGGGTTTATAAATGATTTTTTGCTTTTCTCTGATAGCTTTTAAGATTTTGTTCTTTGTTGAATTTTTGGGACTTTGGCTATCATATGCTGTGGGGAGCTTCCTCTCTCATCAGAATTATTTGGAATTCTATATGCCTCACTTATTGTATGTTGAGTTCTTCTCCCATACTTGGAAAGTTTTCTATGATTTCTCTAAGCAGATTTTTTTATTCCATACATGCTGCCCTCTAATTTGTCTCTGACTGCAATTAGTCGTAGTCTTTTGGCATCATCTAATAGCTGTTGGAGCAATTTTCCTTGCTATCTTGTTTGTTTTAAAGTATCTCTGAGTATATATGGTCTTGTGTTTCTGATCTGTCCTTGGGGTCTGATACTCTCCGTTGGTTACTTCTGTTGTTTATATATTCAGTAGAATTCTTTATCTCAGGGATTTTTATTTGGTAACTTTTCATGAACTCTTCTTTTTTTGATAAATTTATAATTCATATTTTGAATGGTTTTGGATAGCTCTTCTGATTTTCTGTTTGACTCTTCAATCACATTCATCAGTTTGTTTGTTAATTCAACTTTCTGTTTGGTTATATTTGAGTTCACAGTTTCTTTGCTTACTCTTCGGTCATTTTTTACAGTTGCTATCTGGTGTTTGATTTCTCCACCAGTCCTCCTTGGATCTGCTTTCAGAGAGCTGGGATTCTTTGGAAGCATTTTGTTGCCTTGTTTTTAACATGTGTTTGTTTTTGTTTTGTTTTGTTTGGGGGGGTTCTGAGGGTTAAGGTCAAATAAGAGACTTTGTTGTTGGTATAAAGATCTCTTCAGTTAAGTTTTGTTTTCCAGTAATGTGATCTAGGCTTTATTTGTCAAGAGGTATTGTCTACCACTTCAACCTGTTAAGTTCAATTGAGTTGGACCTAGTCATTGTGTTGTAAGGAGAGAACTCCTACTGGTTATAACAGCATCCACAGATCCAACCATATTATCAATCATGAACATTAAAATTTGTCTTGACAACCTTGTCCTTTCGTCAGTGCCTCTGGGATGTGGAAGGAGATGGGAAGGAAAGAAAAAGGGGTAAGTCATTAAGAAGGGAAGATTAATGTTAGTAGGTTAAAAAAAAAGATTGTACTCTGTTGGAGCTAATTGATAGCCAGAGTAAAGGGCTAGTGTTGAGGGAGTTGAGAGAATATTTGTGAGGGTGGGAGGAGGGATGAGAGAGAGGGAAGTGTAATTAGAAATTGAGGGAAGATGTCAGGTTGTCAGACCCTGTTAATATATTTGTAGCTAGTTTTGTTGGATCCCCTAAGCACAGTTCTGTTAAGGGCTACATGGCCATGAATGGTATCATTCAAGTTAAAGCACCAATTAATTCTTATTCTCTCCATACATACACAGGGACCTCCATATATATGTCTCATGAAAGCTGACAAAAAGAAGACAAAGGCAGAGGGAAAATGAGAGAGAGAAAATAGAATAGGGAGGAAAGAAAGTTAAAAAGAGAAAAGAGAAGACTGAGAGAGAGAGAGTATATTAAAGGGAAAAAAACTTAATAGAGTAAAATTTTAAAATATATTAATAGAAGCAAAAACCAAAGGGAAAAAATAAAAACCAAAGACAATCCAGAACAAACAAGCAAGGAAACAAATTAAAAAACCCTCTCAGCCACTTTTTCAGAGAGCCAGAATGTCTACATAGTTCCTTCAAACAGTAGCCATAGTCTAATTGCAGGCACTCAAGTCAGTTTTTCCTCTGTATGCTGCTTAAGTGCTTGCGTGGAAATGGTGAGGGCTGTCAGTCTCTCTGAACCTGCCTTCTGGTTGCAAGCCTTGCTTTGGGTATCATGAACTGCTGAACTTTTCTGTGTCCCAAGATCCGACTTCAATTAACTTGGGAAGAGAAGGATGTGGTGTAGTTTGCCCAATACTCAGTTCTTTGTCACCTTCTGGCAGGGACCTGCCACTCCTGCTGCCCTCACTGCATGGCAAATCCAATGGTCTTTTCCATACTGTCCCTCCGTGGGCCTTCTGCCCAATATATTACCGGCACCTCTTTTTCTGTTCCTTTGCCTTCAGACCTTTATCTGTCCCTGGGCTGTGTCTCAAGGGCTGTGCTTTCCAACCCATGGAACTTGGCACAGTCTCTGGACTTGGCAGAGAACCTCCCTTGGCCCCTGCAGGACAGTGGGCAGTGGGCAGCGTTTTATACTGTGTCAGATCTTTCTGGTGTTTGGGAAAACATAGAAAAGTGTTCGGTCTGGTTCAGTTCTTTTGAGTCTCTCCCCATCTCCTCATCTCTCATGTCTTTAGGGATATGATCTATGGCTCTCTGCTAGCAAGCTGTGCTACCCCTGGTTTGCAGCATTCGCCTTTTCTTTGCCTAGGGCAGGTGGCTTCCTTTGTCACTGTTGGGCAGTGGGCAAGATACTGCAGGGACACAGTGTTCTCCAGGATTTGGGAGGATGATAGTGGAGAGAGATTACCAGTTTTTGTGTTGCTGACACTCCCTTTCTTTGGGTTCTGTCCTTGGCTTCCCTGGGGTCCTAAATTCAGTTAACTCTCATGCTGGGTTTCATCTTTCAGGTGAGAAAGTATGTAGGGAGACTGTACAACGAGTCTTGCCTCTGCAGGGCTGTGTGCTTCCCTCAAGCTTTTAGACTTGTTCCCAAAATGGCATGTTTGCTGGGAAAAGGATGTGGGGAGAACTGTGGACCAGTGGCAGCCCCACTTCCTTTTTTCAATAATCCAGATACTTGGTTCAATTTAGAGAATTTATCTTTCAGGTTAATTTTCCTTATTTGGGTGTGTTGGCCTCCTATTTCAGAATATGTGCATTATTTGAAGCTTGTCCTTTGACCTTCTCTGATGCACTTCCTTCTCTAATTGGCCATGTTAGAATCCTTAACTTTGCTTCTTTTAATAGAAGGTTTTGAGTTTTGAGCCTTTGCTTTCAGTATTGATGTACTTACCATATTATCACCAAAAGTATTATGATTTAGATCTTTTTTCCTCCCTTGGTGGTTTGGGGGATTGAACCCAGGGAGCACTGAGGTATACCACCATTCTTTTTTTTTTGCAGCGGATGCTAGTGTTTCACTGAGTTGCTTAGGCTAGCCTCAAACTTGTAATCCTCTTGCCTCAGTCTCCCAAGTAGTTGGGATTACAGGTGTGTGCCACTGTGTCTTGCTAGATCGTTTTAGAGATGAGTTTCAAATGAAAAAATGATTCCTACCAGATTCTCCCATCCTGTAAAGGGTGAGGCATTAAGTCTATGAGTCCAGTGGTATTTATAAATTAGACATACTACAAATATTAAGTATGTTTTTAACACCTTTGTTGCCATGTAGCATAGAGAACATACTTGTTCATTAAATATTGAAGCATTGCTGGATTTCTTCTTCTTTTACAAACTATTAAAGATCTCCTGTTTGTTTCCTCATAGGACACATCTGGCAAAACATACATGTTATTGGCCCAGTATCTGCTTTCTATGCATGAAGAACTGGTATTTGTTTACCTGTAAGATGTATAGAATACATAAAATTCAAATGAGATTGAGATCAGGCATCTAAAAACTATATTCACCTTTATAGGGATGATATATTTAGATTATAGGTAGTATATTAGTAAAATTAAAAGCAGGAGAAATATATTCTTACTCTGTTAAAAATCAGAGGAGCTTAAGAACTCCTTTTATTCCTTTTCTGAAACAATTGAGTAGTCATGAAATGATCAGAATAAGGTCCACTTTTGTACCTTGTAGACAGAAAAATTTGATTCCCTGCTCTTCTTTGCCTTAAACTTACTCATCCAGCTAAAGGCATAATAATTGAAAACCACCTATACTAAGAATGAGAGCCCAATCAACACACCCATCTATCCCAGGCCCAGTTACACTAAGTGTAAGTCATACTAAGTCTCAATTTTTCTATTTATAAAATAGGCTAATAATATTACATATCTCCCAGAGTACTGTAATTGTGGAATAAAGTGAAGTAGTGTAAGTGAAAGATATTTAAAACCAATTAGGTGTTATGTAAATGCTATTACCTATCTTCATTTGCATCTGTGAGGGCCATTTATAAAATAGCTGGTAGGCATTACATAGATTTGGAATTATGAGTTTTAGATCACTTATTTACTTCTGAAGAGTCAGGATTGAATACTTTAGAGAGACTGTTTCTTAGCAGTTTGTTCAGTTAAACCATTAAGGCCAGAATTAAGAGAGGTTGAAATAGGTAAGATTTCTTATTTTAAATGTAACAGATCAATGATATCTAGTGATGCTTTCCTAGTGGATCACTTCCTTGTCAGTAGAGGAGATGCTCTAGGAAATGGACAGATAAAGTAAGCCTGTTTTTCACAGAATAAACTGTGCTCTGTGTCAGATCCCAAGCCAGGTACTTTGTATTTTACAATTCTTTCATTACAAGACTGTTGATTTATTATAACAATAACTCATGGTTGAAAATATATCATTCAGCATTTATTTGAATTTCAGACTGTACTTCTACATAATACTAGGAGTTTAATTTTTTTCTATCAGTATTTATTGTAGTCTATTTGCAAGGCAAGGATGCCTTAATTGAATGTTCCCTAAATCAACAAATGACTACAAATGAGTTATTCTGAGACTAAGTTGAAAGCTGATCACTTCATGTATAATAGTACTCTATTCATTTTTAAGAATGGAGTCCCACTCTCTTGATATGCTACTAAAAATTAAAATTTATTACTTCACAATTACATTTTATTTACTCTTTTATAAAGTACAAAATTTTTTTTTGCCTTTTTCAAAGTTTTATTAGTACATTTGCAGTACATAATGATTACAATTCATTGTGGAGAGTTTGTACATGTACATAACACATATTCTTGGCAGAGGAGGAGGCTTCCGGGCCACTGTACCACTGCTCCCAGTGAAGAGGAAGAGGCTTCCGGGCTGATGTAGCACTGCTCCCAGCACAGAGGAGGAGGCTTCCAGACTGCCACAGCACTGCTCCCAACACAGGGGAGGTGAGCCGTGTGGGTGCCAGCAGCACCCACCATTTGTCGAAATGAGAAGACCCTTAAACAAGCCTCAAAACCAGACTTCCAGATCACCTACAGCAACCCCAAAGGGAAATGAGATGGAACAATCTGATATTCAACCACCTGGACTCCCT